TGGGCCATATTTGTCTTATTTTACTTTAAGTTCATTGAGAGCAAGAAACACATTTTGTCTCAACATCTCTTAGGATACCCTTTGAGAAAGCGCTCTTAAGGAATTGTTAGAACTGTCCTTGTAAATATAAATGCGTACATGCCAAAGTTTTATATACTTATAATTAAAACAACCAATAGAATGACTAAGCTGATTTAAAGAATGGGGGGAAAATATGTTGAAATGAAGGCAGTATGTTAGAAACCAAAGTGGTTGGGTTTTTCTCTTTTTAAATCAAAGAAAAAAACAGTACATCACACCTTATCAATTTTCTGTAAGCTAGCTTCTGGCTTTACAGGGCTGGGAAACAGCTGGCTCTCATCAATTGTTATATTTCCCCAGAGTTAAATGACTTCCCAATTGACATATTAGAAAGCCCTCGGGCCCTGGCAGGTGTGGCTCAGTTCGTTGAACGTTGTCCCATGCACAAAGAGGTCGTCAATCTGATTGCCCATCAGGGCACATGCCTGGGTTTCAGGCCTGAGCCCCACCCAGTGCAGGAGGCAACCGATCAATGTTTTGCTCTCACATCAATGTTTCTCTCTCCCTCTCCCTTCCTCTCACTCTAAAATGAATAAAAACGTAGTTTTTAAAAAGCATTCAGAAGTGGAATTATAAAGATACAGACACATTCATCATTTTGCCTTATATCCAAGCTTTAAATATTTTCCTACACACTTTCCGATAGTATCTCTAAGAATACTTAATGTGCTTTAAATTGAATACTTAAATTCAATTTTTAAAATATTGAATTTGTATCCTGTGGCTGTAGAGAAATAGATTTAAGGTGGTCTAAACTTAAGGCACAATTAAAGCAAGTTAAAGGTAAGACAATAATATCAATAAGGTAAAAAGCAAATAGAAAAAATTGATAAGATGCCATCATTACATTTTAGATTTGTTCATGCATTTCTAGGTGGTCAGCACAAAGTCATTTACAGAGTAAATTATTTAATCTTATTTATCTCTTATCATAAAGAAAGAAACATCCAGTTCTGAGCTGGTTAATATTTTGTTTTGTGTTTCCTCCTCCTTCTAAATTATATAAAAAGGAGTCATATGGAGTTTCACATAAATGACAGATGTCGTCGTGGGCCTTGTTCTCGATATTTTTAAACTAATTACAGGCAAAGATTATCAATGACTATTTGTTATGGGTTTTTTTGTTGTTGTTGTTTGTTTGTTTTAATCAAAACCAAGTGCATCTGCATGCAAAGAAAAGTGCATTTGTTAAAAACAGGTTTTTATTTGGAGCATTTTCAGTGAGAAAAATGCCTTCACAATTCACCTTCACATTTCATATGAAACTACAAAGTTGCTTAAATAAAGTAAGCATTCTTCACAGCCGTTTGGCACAAAGTTTTACGACATTTAATTAAAGACGTGTCCTTAGTCTTTAAGGGGTAGGTCAGCACTTCATTACACACCTGTACGTCTGTGACTGCCCTTGCTGCCTGGTGGGTCCCAGACAGAGCTGTGTCCTGAGCCCAAAGGAGGACGCCCTCTGTGTGAGCTTTGTATGGGCCTTCTGGGTGTCCCTGTGTCACTGGCGCTGTGGTAGGAAGTGTCCCCCACTCCCTTTCTGCGTCTCCAGAAGTCACAGGGGTCCTTTCCTCTGGAGCTAGAAGGAGTCAGTGGAGTTGTTGACGTGATAGCATATTTGGGCTTTATACAGGAATTGGAGTTCATCAAAACAGAGCTTTTCATTAATAAAATCAGACAATCCGTAACAATAACAGCCTATTTCATGGAAGAGGGATAGACTTGGCACCTTTCTCCGAGAGACGCAGTTGGTGGTAAATCTTCATCCAATAAGACGCCTTCAGGGCCAGCACCATGTCTCACTCTTCTCTGTGTTAAAGATTTGCCCTGACATGAGGGTGGTTCCTATAAATGGGCAACAGGACATTGTAATGAACCGATGAGCGACACTTTTTGCTAAAGATAAGAGGTTACAACTGAAAAGACAAGCAAAGATCCTTCTTTGCATGGGTCTTTCAAGCCCACCCCCAAATACTATAATTATATTTAAGTGTCTTAACAGTGACTTACGAAATTGTACCTCATATTGGGCCATATTGGTTCTTAATTTGTTACCTGGGTTGTTTCCCTCATTAAGCTCTTCGAGAGTAGACCCAGATGTTCCAGGCCATAGGAATGGGCACATACATAATGGATGCTCATGTGACATGTACTGGTTAACTTATTGCATCTAGTGGCTCTACAAGGCAGAGAAAAAAGGGTAGGTGGATAAAGGAAAAGAAGTCATATCTAGAATAAGGATGGCAAATAGCTGGCAAGATCCTCTCCCCAGAGTAGGCATGCTAATGACCAGAGCTCTCTCCTTCTGAGTGTAACTTCTGCCTTGGGCTCCTCACCACAGTGCCCCCGGCAGCTCTGTCCGAGTGGAAACATGAGGAGAAACCCATTTACCACCTTCATGTGGAGTTTGTCCCCTGACGTTATACTGACAGCCCCGACTTGCCTCTCACCCTGTTTTTCAAAAGCAGGTAAGCGTTCAGTTAAACACAAAACAGAGACCTATGAACAATGCCAGATAAAGTTTTAAAAAATGCAGCTTGTTTTATTTGTATAGAAACTAAAACACCAGAGCTCATCAATTCCTATATTAAATACATAAATTATAAAATAACCATTCATAAAACTTTACATACAATAAGCTGATTCCGATCTCTATGGTAATACATACAATACATGTATCTCTTCAGTGACTTCAGAGGCTCATTCTGGTGAAACTCAGTCCATTTATGTTTTTCTCCTGTTAGTAAACAAGCACTGAAGCGATATATGGAGTCATGCTAATGCGATGGAGAGAAAGAACCCCGTGGAGGCAGTTGATTGTAGGAAAGCTCTGAGAAATTGGCCCCCTGGCTACATGTATACAGTAGACACCTGGGGAGTTGTGTATGCAAATACACTGGCTCTTTACTTGAGTTCCCACAGAATTGGATCTTGAAGGTTTAAACATGCATGAACCCTTCTGCAAATGGGGTTTTTAACTGATAAACCTATGAGACTTTTGGCTAATATTAGTGCTGTAGATTGTGTTGGGCTTTCTGTTGCTCTTCCCAGAAAACCATCGGCATCACTACAAGGCTGGTTTATGGGCCTGCGCAAAAAGAACCAATAAGTAGATCTTTGTCTCTGTCAACAGCGGGGAATAGTAGTAACGAAAAGAAGGTGGGGAGGAGAGAGGGAAGCAGGCAAGGAGGGGAAGAGCACAGACAGCAGATGCCAAACAAAAACATGAGTTACCCAGAAGCAGCGGGGAAACCCTTCCTTAACGCCTCAACCCCAGGACAGAAGCACACACGTAGGAAGCACTCGCACCATCATACTATGTACAGAATATATATGTGTGTATATACATGTACATCACATACTTATAAAAGTGTTTAGATTTTGATCTGCCTCATTATTATGGTTCATGGGTAGGGGGGAATAGGCACATTTTGTGAGATGCCAATCAGTGATTGCTGTTATTGGGGGATGCTGTGGATCTGTTTTTAGGAAATTGCAACATCCACAATTTAGCAAGTTTGTGGAGTCGTGAGTGTAGGCAAAGTTGGACTCAACGTTGTTTATCTGTAGCACTCCCACCCTACAGAACTTTGATGCAATAAGGATGGCAATATAAGCACAGGCACAGAGACCTCAATGCAAAAACACAAAGAAGAAAGGGAACCTTGCGCCATCAACCACTTGTACTTCTGAGTTTCGTGTTGAGTACAGCACATTATCCTCCTTATAACTGCAGCATGGCCCCTTGAACTCTATCTTTAGTCATTTTGATTGAACATTGGACTCAACAACACTAAACTGCCGAACTAAAGGCAGCCGAGGAAAGTGAATCTTGCCCTGCCCAGTCCTCAAATGGAATCACAGAGGATCGACGCCAACCTTCTATTATGTCTGAATCCTCTTGCCAAGATGCCTGAAATTCATTCTCAAGACAATGCGTTACATGGAAATGACAAGGCAGTTGAAGAGAATGGAGGCTTTCATCCCTCAAGACCTCGTGACCTACTTTTTTCTCTTTCGAAAGGCTTGGCCCGTTCTGGAAGCATTAACTCATTACCCACACAGTCATCTAAGACTCGCTTTGATTACTGATCCCTCGAAAGGTACATTATTCAATATAGTAGGCAAATATATATATTTTCTGTGCCACTCTTGGACAGATTGAAAAAATGCAATTAAATATTTAAAAAATAAACCGTCTATGCTTTCCAACTATTTTCATGTAACATAACACACATGATCCAATTACTTAAGCACCAACACAATACTGATGCATAGTGTTTTTACAGTTCCCATAAAAACCCAGGCAGGTTTAAAAGACTTGCTTCATTTTCAAACAATAATCTTATGAATTACATTGAAGACATTGAACGTATATAGATTACACAGTGGTTTTACAAAAAGTGTTGACAATAGTAGGCAAAAAGGGACACGTTTGCCAGAGATGTATATTCAACAGAAAACACAGTAAGTTGAAATGAAATACTTTCGCAAAAATTACTTGACAAGCCTTGATTTCCTCTAGTCCTAGTGGAGAACGAATGTCCCCTTTCTGCTTCAGCAGTGACCCATGAGCCCTCTGGGTCACCTCTATCCTCCTGAAGACCCCGTCACCTGTGTGAAGTTATCTGTGAGTAGAAGAAAAATCAAGCGAAATTTATTCTTCCTTCCCTAAAATCTTACTATTGGCAATAATTTCACTTATATGACAAAGGGTAAAGGAGACCTTATACTTATTTTTAACAAATTCCAGTGTTTCCAAAAACAAAAATTGGGTGACATTAAAAAACTTGGTCAATTTAGTAATAGATGCTTTCCAGTATTATAGCCAAATATAGTCTTCCATCCTCCCCCCGCCCCGCACCATCCCCCCCCCCCCACCTTTACCATAAAAAATTTCCTGTCTTGAATAACTGTGCTAAATTTGGGCTTTTATTTTATCTCAAACTATTTTTTAGTATTGTTGGTATTGTTTAGTATTATCTTTATTTCCCAAGAGATGACTATTTTAAGAAAATTTAAGTAAATGGACCCTGAAGAATGCTGTTCTGATGGCTAACCCATTGGCCAAATGTGGTGGGATAGTTAAGATGCAGAAATTAAAGATCCAAGTGGGAATTGCCTGTTCTTTGTAAGGAGTAGGGCCACAGTAAGCCTCCCTCTATCAGTAAGACATTCTTTTTTTCTGAACATCATTTACAAGGGCAGCACTCGTTTAGATATGATCCATTTCCATGGATCCACGAGTGACGATATCAGACAGTTACAATTTTGCTATTGTTTTTTTGTAATTGTGGAAATGGATAACAGAGAGGTGTACCTATAAAAATATTTGACCGTATCCAATAATAATTTTGAGGATCATGAGTAAGACTAGGCAAACATATCACCTGTTAGCCTACAATATAGAGAAATTTGCTAATTTCCTGGATCTTAAGCAACACATTCCCTAAGCACATCTAAAACTGCTTAGATGTCATTGCTCTTGTGTGATTTGTGTGGGTGATGCAATGAGCCATAGCAGATCGCATATATGATGAAACCACATTATTTTTACAAATTTTTCTCATCCTTTAAACCATAGCCAGTACTTGGAAGTCAAATTTAAACTACAAATTTCTTGGTGGGGAAAGCAAGATGAAGAGAAGGAACGTAGGTTTGCTGGAGGAAGTGGAGTATGAATTTGCTCAGATGGATCCTGGAATGGCAATGAAGACAGTGAAAGAGAAAAGTTGAAGGTACGAAGGGTAATTTATCCTCTCCCATATGTTTTGAGGTTCGAAAGGGTTTGGTCACAAGCTGGAGGGCACCCTCTTTCACACCGTCTGCACAACCAATGTACTATTCACATTTAGTCCGGAACCTACCCAATTGAACAAATAATTCAGCAGGATAGTTATCTTATATATTCCCAGTAGGACACATCACCGGACCTTCCCCCCAAATGGAAGGGGTGATCCGATGAATTATGTGATGCTATCAGTTCACTCCAAGCCCTCATTTTATGGCTGGCCCTCCGATGAGAAAGTGAGTTTTGTATCCTGCCCTGCATACGCAATGAGGAGAGCTAGAAGATCCTCATCACTGGGATGGCACACACTTCTATCTTGCTCAATAATAGCAGGAGATGATCTCACTTCCTGTGGGTTATTACAGCCCTTGGCTCTGACCTCTCAGTCCTTATCGCTAGGAATGCCCCAGGTGGTTTGATGGGAAGGCTTCAGTGCTGCAGGACTTAGATCCAACCCAACCCAAGCACTATGTCATCACAGAGGGGACTCTCGTTCTCAACAATACAGGAAAGTCAAATAGTATTCGCAGTCAGAGTAATTACAAAGCACTTTGTGCTACTTTAAGCACCTCTTGTTCCAGAATTGCAAGAAAGAAACTTCATGAAAAAAGCTTTTTAACCTCATTTTGCAGATGAGGAAACTGAGGCACAGAGAGGTTAAGTGACTGGGCCAACGATACCTGTGTCAGCAGTCAATACAAAAACAAAAAGCGGACCCCAGCATTGCGGCTTTTCTTGTACACTCTTCAGTGGCTTGCTGGCTTTGCAAACGCCAGTGCTAGAACTGAAGAATAAGATACTGAACCCACGTGTGGGAGGACTTGGGAAGTATTTCATAGAAAGAGGTTCTGGCTCCCTAGACACATTCTCTGGGCATGGGAACTCTAGCCCTGTAAATAACACCTTGACGATTTGAAAAATTGAGGCTGTTTTGTTATCTACAGTAAGTGAGGTGTAAAATTAGCTTTTCAGGAACATTTATTTGCTCTCACACCTGAATCCAAGACTCGGTATTACATAACTTAGGAAAAGGACCAGTCTTTTAATTGTCTCTGGTAGAAAACAAACCTTATCAGTAACATAATGTTACTTCTATATAAAAAAGTAGAGCTATCTTGTTGCTGTCAGCAATCTGGGAAAAACAAACAATGTTATCTATTTAAATGACAAGAGATCCAAGTCCTGGAGGCTTATCAGGACATTTAAAAAAACAATCATAATTTAGTTTTATATTCACATCCCTGTGTGGCAAACTCAAAAGTTGTTAGAAGTTTACTTGTCATCTCTACGGTGGTTTTACTGGAATCATATGACATTTATTTGCAGGCAATTCTAAGCAGCCATTTGAAAACCAGTATTTTGTTAAACGGAAAGATTCAGAGATGCTCTCTGGCCCGTGTCCCCTATAGATATTGGTATTATAAATAGAACTAAGTCAGGGAGCTAGTGACTTAGAGCATCGTCTTCTTCATTTTCAACGTGAATGAGATCAGTCTCTTGATCCCGGAGCAAGACAGATGTGACAGGAGGTCAAGGAAGCATCAAGTCTGCTTCTGTGTCTGATGTCCCAGTCGCCGAGGTCCCCGCCGTGGCCGCCAGGGCAGTCGGGGTCACGGTGTGCCACGGCTCAGATCTCTCAGCTGTGGGAAGCACTCCACCTGCTCCACCTTTGGCAGAAAAACCAACCGGAGAGCGCTTTCCTTCCCCCTCACATGGCAGAGGTCTCTGTTCCTGAGTTTTAAACAATAATAAAGACAAAAAAGCAAATCCCTGTAGTAAGAAACCAGACTTTTCAAACGAAACATTTTATTGTAAATAGCTCCTCATAGGTATTCCTCGTGCTTCATTCCCACCCACCCTAGTTTCTGTTGTTTGTTTTGATTTTTTTTTTTTAAATGGTGTTTATTTCAGGACTAGTGTTTCCATGGGGTGTGGTGTTACATTAAAATGACCCCCCTGCACAGCAGGGGTAGAATGGTTCTTTGTAACTTTGGTTCCATGCCCAAGACACATCTTTGTGTGATCTGCTGAATCTGTTTCCATGGTTGATTTGTTTTTTGCCTTCACAATATATGTTTATAGTTCTTTTCTTCTGGCTTGACATGTACACGTTTCATTAAATGCAGCATATATTGTAGATTTTCACCAGGGTCATGTAGGAACTGTCAAGTAAGAAACCTTGAATAATGGCTTTAAAATACACAGTTGTAGTCCTGGCTACAGGGTAGTTCTTAGCTTTTGATCTCTCTCTCTCACTGCTGTAAACATTTCTGCCATCTTTGAAGGTTTAGAAGCATTTGTCCCTCTGGGGTTTTATCCGTGTTTTCGGTTACTCTGTAAAACAGAGGGAATATTCTTTAATCACCATTTCTGTCAATAGCTGAAACAGAAGAAAAAAAACAAAATGCTTTTAAGGAAAAAAAGTATTCTTTACCACCTCTTTGAGTTGTATGATCTTATGCAAGTTACATAAAGAAGGTATCTAAGCTTAATTACATTAATTTCAAATGAGAAAATAGACTATCTATGTCAAAGGTTGTTGCAACATAATGCATCTAAAGCAATAAACAGTTCTTGCCTCACAGTAAGTGGCCTGAAACATTAGGTATCATTAGTACCTTTCCCTCCAGGCCTTCCAAGGTGAGGCCTGAAGAAACTCAATTGAATCATTATGCCCCAAATATTAATTTAAAATATTATTTTAAAAGCAGTTCTGGCCTGGACAGTGTGGCTCAGTGGTTGAGTATCAACCTCTGAACCACAAGGTCACCAGGTCGAATCCTGGTCAGGGCACTTGCCTGGGTTGTGGGCTGGATCCTTAGTAGGGGGTCGCAGGAGGCAGCCAATCAATGACTCTCTCTCATCATTGATATTTCTATTTCTCTATCCTTCTCCCTTCCTCTCTAAAATCAATAAAAGCTTTTTTTAAAAAAAGCAGGTCTGTCTGTGCCTGTCAGCGACTTCCTTTGATGCCACATTTCCACCCCAACAATTGTATCCGGTGGCAGCCTCCACTCTAAGTCCTGACCTGAGGATTCCCTATGAAGTTTGTCACACAGGTTTCCTGGTTGATCCATGGTATGTCCCTGAAAAGGTACTTCTCTGGGCTATGCCAGTCAGCACTCCTAGCCCTGTTCCTCTTTAAATCCACGTGTCTGGGTTTCACTTGGGTAGAAGTTTAGGACATAGTGTTTCCTTCAAGAAAAGCTTTCAGAGTCTGAATGACATGGACGGAGAAAATGGGATTCCCATGTTCTCACTGTATGTCTGTCCAAGGACAAGTTATTTAACTTCTCAAAGCCTTAACTTCCCCATCTGTATAATGAAGATACTGATTCCGTAGCGGGATTTTACTGGCGCCTAGGAATGGTGACCAAGATCTGAAGTGATGGGACAGGAGGCACTTAGCACTTTCGGTGCTCCATTTAGAGGCAAATGAAAGGTTCAAAGAAACTCCCACCGTACGTGAGAGCCAGAAGTATTTGGAATTCACATTTGCAGAGCCACCTGGTCTGCTCCAAAAGACCAGATTCAACTGCAATAATGGAGGGATAGAGCCCCAGAGGGGAACCGTAGTTAGGAAGCGCAGTGGTTGAGATGAGAGCGCACTGTGGCAGGGAGAGGAGTACCAAAAGGCACAATGAGAGACTGGCGGTACTTGTACAAAGGAGACTCGTGTTCTACCCCTCCACTACAGAGCAGTGCCCTTCTTCCTTTGTCTATCTGTGCAGAGAACTGGAGGGGGTGATGGGCAGAGATGGGAGCAATAGCTTCCTCCCCAGCAAGAAGCTGTGACTGGGACCCCCATGGTGGCATCCAGAGTGGCAGTGGGCGAGCTGGGGCCTCCATCAGTCAGGGAACAGTGCAGTGAGCATGTTCTGCACAGCTTCTGAGGAGCTCAGACCTATGTTCCCCTAATGATCAGTCTTTCATCACCTCCCTTCAAAAGGACATTGAGACCTGGTCGGTAATATCCAGAGGAACAGCATTGGCCCCCATTGGAATGGAGAGGCCTGTCCCCCTGCCCTGCTTCCTCTTCCCTGCCCTCCAGAGGAGCTGAGCCTTGAGGAGGGAAGGGAAAGCTTTTATTGATTTTAGAGAGGAAGGGAGAGGGATAGAGAAATAGAAACATCAATGATGAGAGAGAGTCATTGATTGGCTGCCTCCTGCGGCCCCCTACTAGGGATCCAGCCCACAACCAGGGCAAGTGCCCTGACCAGGATTTGACCTGGTGACCTCTTGGTTTAGAGCCAGAACACCCTCCCCCTATCCTTACCCCTCACCCCCACCCCAGATAAGGGAAGAAGTGAGATTAAACAGAGACAAAGACAGAATTTTTAATCTGAGCTAGAATTCTAAGAACTGAAGGTGACTAAAAATTTTGGGAACCAACCTAAGAGTCAACTAAAGGACGAAAGAGGGGAAATAAGGCAGAAGCTGAGTTTAAGCTATGTTTTGAGAAATATAGATTATGTTCATATTTACATCCTACTGGGATGAGAGTTCTAAATAACTAGTTACAGTTATAATATTCCCATATTCTCTGGTAAATAAGAAAACTGGTCTCAATGTATATAAAAGGTACTGTAAGGTGTGTACATGTATATGTGTATGTATAGTGTATGTGTGTGTTTGTATATTTAAAATATGTATGTAAGTACAAAAGTCTTTTACTTGCAAACTTTCAACTTATACACTTGCAGAGATAAATCCTAAATTCTGTTTCAAATCGCACATGTATAATTTCTGTCTTTCATGTTTGTCATGAAAATCCATTTGAGTAAAAATATGTTGGTTTTAAAAAGACAAATGGACTTGCCCAGGCTGGGTGGCTCAGTTGGTTGGGGTGCCGTCCTATACACCAAAAGGTTTAGGGTTAGATCTCTCAGACAGGGCATGTACAATCAACCAATTGATGTCTCTCTCATATTGATATTTTTTTCTCTCTCTTTCTCTCCCTTCCTCTCTCTAAAATCAATAAACATATCTGCAGGTGAGGATTTAAAATAATAATAATTAATAATAATACAAATGGACTTAAAGGCAGTCTGCCAAAATGTTACATTTCTGTAAATTGAGTAACCTTAAGGCTGCACACTCTAAACAACTCAGCTGTTCTCCTGTGTATACTTTATACCACCCAGATATACTGCTACTTAATTTGCTATATTATTAATACTGTTTTTTTATTTAACAGATAATTACTAAGTGTCAATTAAGGGCTATTCCGGAGGAAAAGCAATTCAAATCTTGTACAGCTCTCAAGGGATTACAAGGTATAGAGAGGAGGGCCTTGTAATTTCAAAACCCACTTAGTGGGAAGTACCACACACATAAGGGAGGATGCCTCTGGTTGCTGATATACATGAACATAAATGATGCTCAGAATGTGAGAGAAATGCCCTCTTTCATTTGTGAGGCAGTAGTGTGGTGGTTAAAAGTGGTCTCTAAAATGAGGCTGTCCAGGTACAAATCCTAGGCCTGAGAATTGTAGCTGTGTGGACTTGGGAAAGTTACAAGCTACAGTTCCTCCAACTGGTAAACAAAACAAAAATAACAACTAAAGCAACTAATTATGAGAATCAAATGAGATGATGGAAGTAGAAGTGCCCTGAATATCGTGAAATTCTGCACATTTGGGGCAATTTGCTGTTATCACCTGGTTTATAGGGGATTTTGTGTGGATATGTGTATCTGTTGCTTAACACAGTACCTGCCACGTAAGGCACAATGAGAGATTGGCGGTACTTGTACCTGCCAAGTGTTCACCATGATTGATGTCCATGTGCAAACCTACTCCTTTCCCACCTGGTATTTATTTATAAAGTTGGAATTTTCTTTCCTAACCCCCCACGTAGTACTTGTGTCTCATGAACTTTATTTGCCTCTTTATTTATTGTTCTTTGGGGGAGGGCTGCTTGTTTTTTTGACTCTCTGAATGTTTGATCCTTTCTTAGAGAATCTCACCCATTTCACTTAAGATATTCTCATTCAATTTGAGAGACTCAGCCCTCTTCTTTATGTGCTGCAAGGCTACCAGCCTTCATGTCAGATGAAGGGTATCTGTCAGCCTGTGAAGAAAATATTTTGGATGGAATCAAGCCAAAGAGTTGGTTATAGGAAGACATAACTTTCTGGGCACATCTGCCTAACTCCCTTGTACACGCCGAAGCCCTTCTGCTTGTGTGTTCCACCTGCAGGTCGCCAAGTTGATGCTCATGGAAAAAGAACGTGTCTCTCCTCCACTTATAGAAAAGGTTAAATAACACAAGGTCCAGGAAAGATCCTTGACTAATATAACTTAATAGGATAACCAAAGCTGACACAGACCGTGATAAATGTATTGAGAATAGCAGCTAGCCTGTTCTCATTTTTAAGTGATGGTATTGAGATTTGTGGTCTCCATACCTGGGTGGACATCAGAATCACCTGATGTGTTTGTTAAAAGTATAGATCAATCCTTGCTCTCTCTCCCACTATCTACCCAGTAATCTGCTTCATGAAGTTAAGTCACAGGAAGACCATAGAATCTTTATTTGAAATGGCATTGAGAATCACTGTCTAAGACTACTTAGACATGGACTTGATTTAGCAACAATAAGACTATTCTATTTTCTTCCTCTAAATTGACATTGACAATAATCTTATTTGAAAACCCAAGATCCAATTTTACTTTCCTGCTTTCCTGAGTTTTGATGAAGAAAGATGGGGAGAAAGAGTTAAAAAAATCAATCATTTATTAGTTTGTTAGGATTCACAGATATCAGAATTTTCAAACTGGAAAAGATACTGAAAATATGTTTCTTCATTTTGAAGACATGGAAGCAACTCTCTGTGTAATGATTATGATGAGAATACTGAGATCCATAGACATCGAGATTCCCAAAGCAAATCTGTTTACTAGAAAAAAATATCTTGATTCTCACTATACTTCCCCAATAAACACCCAACTGGATTCGATCCATTTCTCATTTTATGGCATCTAAGCTAATCAAACCATGTGCATTTTTTTAAACATGGGCCTAATAACTACATGTATATACCTATCAGAACCACATTTTGAGAATTAAATGGAATCTTACCTTTAAGAGGCACCTTGACATCAAGGCCATAGAATAAAGGCAAGAGAGAAGAACAAGAATAGAAACAGAAACTGCAGAAGAAAAAGAAGAAGATTATGTAAATCTGAATTTCTGTAGTGCTATTCAGGTAGTACAAACCTCAGCTTTTCCACATTGTTCATCTCATCACTTCTCACATAACACCAAGTAGCTTTTGTTTCAAAAAAAACATACCTTTTACTTGTCTACTGGCAAAGCAACACAATGAATAACTAACTGGTGTTCAGCTAAAATCATACATTTTAGAATTCTGAGAGGGTCTTACAGATAATTGGTGTAAGCCCTTAATTGTAAAACTACAGAAAAAAAGCATAGACCATTTCATCAATAGACTAATTTCATGGCATAGTTCAGTTTAGAGAATGGACCTCCCAAGTCTTACTCTATTATATGTTATTGTCTCATTTTTAATGCATGGAAGATTATTTCAAAAACACAAAATATGATCAGAGCATACACTTAATCACTCAATGCTGTCATTGATTGGTTAGTGTGTTAGGTTTTAGGACTAAGGCTGATCTGGAAGAATAGTATTATGTAGGGTAAACATATGACAAATTAGCCACAGTGGGATACTCCAGAGAGGGAAATGGGATACTATCAGTAATTACCCCAGGGCAACAGGTGTAAACTGGGTCTGTCCTGCACCAGTGGGTTTGTGTGGCCATCCTATTGGGTGTGACATCTGCCTATACATCGGTGATACTTTGGATAATGAATATACGATTCAGTTCCAGCCTTCATGCTTCTGAGATAGATCTCACTTTACTTGACCTACAGAAGTTAAGTGAAGCCTGATTTGTTTATCTTCACCAAGAATCTTCACTAGAGAAGCAGATAGTTGATGGACCAACAGATCTTGTGTAGCACTAGTATATAACCAACTCTATACTAATTATAACAGGTCACAGGTGAGGTCAGTTTTTTCCACTACTGAGTTCTTCAGTGATTTACTCTTACAGAGGCAGGAAGTCTTTGTCTTGTATTCAATCTCTAGGAGCATTCTGTTGCAAGGCTTCCTGTATGGCATGTACAGCATTCTCATATTAGGGGCATGTTATTTGCATATTCCTTTAATGTCACTGTTTAGAAGGCTCTTGCTTCACTATGGCAAAATTGTATATGAACAGGTTGTAAACATGGTGCTAAGATCCATGTAGCAGTGACTAGTCTATTAGTCTAAAACGCAGAAACGGTCCTTTTTATTTCACTCCTTAAAGATGAAGAGGGGTATGGTGGCACCTGTCGCAGGAGAGGATGGAGAAGGAGAGGAATGGGAGGCTTCCGCTATTCCCAGGAGAAGGTCAGATATCAGCACTACCTCTCGGGCATGAATGAGGAGATGCCCAACCGCTCAGCCTGTAATGAGATTCTTAGTCTACACAGTGTGGTGGGCAGACCTCTGGTCCTGGTTAGCCATGGAGTGATTATACAGTCTTGGGAAAGTTGTTTAATCTCTGGGTTATTGTTTTATTAAGGGGATCATTATTTTCGCTGTGTCTGAATCACAGAATAATTATGAGAATCAAATGAGCTGATGGAAGTGGAAGTGCTTTGGATATGATGAAAAACTGCACATTTGGGGCAATTTTGCTGTTTGCTGTTATCCCCTGATTTATATTAATGGTGTGCATGGGAATTAGGAACAAAGAAAGGATATTTTATGTACCTTGAGGAGGTGTTCAAGTATTCCAAGGAAAAGAGTGGAGACTATCTCTGACATAAGTGATCTTTAGCATTTTTACTAGGCTTGTAGATGAGTAGAACTGAGGTCAAGTGAATAGAAGAATAGAAGGTGCTCATCTCTCATTCAAATTCTAATCAGAAACAAACTAGGTTATTTTTGAAGTGACTTAATTTACTCCTATATGTGGTATATGTTGCTTTGATAACTAAAGAATCCATATTTTCTGTTAAGTATATTGTCTTATTATCATAAATGTTTAGGAAGGTCAGATCCATAAAATGAAAAGCTCACATGGAATTCTGAACTAAACATAATCTTAATCTCCCTTCTCCCAACATTATAGGGTTTATTAAGAGAATGGCCACTGGGGTAACATTTGTAGATTTAAAAAAAAATCCTGTGTTTGTTTTACTCAGTTGAATGGGAACTGAACTGAGCTAAAGTTTCTGGGGGCAGAACAGTCTTAGCTGTGATTTTGTCCTTGAGCCAGCCCCAGGGCTGTTTAAGGATTAGCAGAGAGAATGACTAGAGCCAAGAACTTGCCATTCAAAAATGTGGAAACTGGAAGACATCGCGTGTCCTCTGACAACCAGGCTGTAGGGAAATCCTGCCTTTTGTGGGTCTTCTTGCCAAAAACTTGGGAAATGAGACTAAGTCCTTGTTTAACTTTGCCTCATTCAATCCTGGAGAACTAAATAGCACACTTCTGAAATGAGGAAAATTTAAATTTAAAAATCTGCAGGAGTATACTTTACATTTGGTACTTTAAAAATTTATACTTTTAAATTTGACTTTCTTACTGTTTTCACCAACCACTAATTTGTTCCTCATGGAGAGGAGGTGAATGCAAGTGTTATCATCCCTATTCTAGAGACACGGCTTAGACACAGGGGGTCTTACCCAACGTCAAATAAGTACCTGAAGACCAGCCTACATAAGAATCCAGGTGCTGATGGTCTGGCTAATAGCTCCCCTCCAGCTCCATCTGAACTCACATATGTGGACAACTACAGAAGCAACTTGGGATGAACCAAGTTCTAACCATAGTCTCAGAAATGCCACATGGTTTGCTATTTTCTTCTTGGGTGACTATGGAAGATACAGGAAAGCGTTATATTATTTTGCGATGTAGGGATCAGGCAGCTACTTCGAGCCCATCAGATTGGAACTCAGGGAAAACCTCTCGCAATCTTCGCTGTGTTCCTCAGCAGGCGCTCCTGGCATCCCCGGAAGGATAACTTTTTGTTGTGCCAGACTGTTTAATTCATCGCAGAGCTTGTTTAGCACCCCTGTACAAGTGTCCCTTCTCCCACCACACACATCTGCAAATGTCCTCTTTAAGAAAGACTATGCTTTAACCCCCCAAAAGTGCTGGCTCGCTTGGAAGAAGCAGTGATTTTTCTAGACCACTGGGGGAAATGACATGAGGAAATGACAGGATGGCATAATTATCATATGTCAATCTACATTTATGAATTTATTTTTGAAGTGAAACTGCAGTATCAGGAACGAAGGGCTTTTTATAAATAATAATGGGATTTTTTAAAAGGCGCTAAACAAGATCAACTAAAGGACTTGTATGCATGCATATAAGCATAACCAGTGGACATAAGACATTGGGGGATAGGGGAGGCTAGGGGACTGTCTAGGGCGGGGGGATAAAATGGACACATATGTAATACCCTTTGTAATACTTTAAGCAATAAAAATTAAAAATAAATAAATAAAAAAAAAAAGGCGCTAAACATATTTTTAAAAGAAAGCAGAATAACAAAACTCAAAAGAAATGTTTGAAAAGGAAATAAAGATGAAGAAGAGGAAACTGAGGAGAGAAAACACTTACAGAAAAGAATGGGAATCAACACAAAACACAAAATACCTCGGGCAGCACCTACTCTGGGATCCCAGTGCCTGACTCAAGGTGAGGCCTACGACTATACAGCTGCCTACGCAAAGTACACAGCACCCGAGACGAAAGAAAGGACACACACAGTGAGTGAAACTGGCATTAATTTCTGATTATAAAGTTAAAATAGATGTTGACCTTAACACCTACCTTTTCCTCTAAGTCCTTTATCTGTCTTTTCTGGATGTCTGTTTTATCTTCTAAGTCACGGATTCTCTGGAGGAAGAAGAAAAAGGAAAAGCATTGGTGGGCATTAAGTTGAACCAAAAGATTGTTCTCCAACCTAAAACAGTCAGCTTTCTATAAAAACATCAGCAATAGTATTAGCAACTGGAAATATTCACATATACATTTTTTTCATACCCAATTGCTGCATTTTCAAAATTACCGGCACCTGTGGTGGAAGTGATTTGCTAACCCTCTCTACTGGGTCTATCCCTGCAGACCCTTTCCTCGTGAGAGATACAGTCCCCACCCATTCTGCTTGGGCTTGACCATGGGACCGGTGTTGGCGGGTGGGATGTGACTTGTGGAATGCTGCCTCCTAGCAGGGACAGTGTGAATCAGAACTAGTGAACAAGAAACAAACGTCGTTGTAAACCATTTGGATTAAGATTTTTGGTTGGTTGTTACTATAGTAAAAACTGGATAAAGCTAACACAAATGCAAACAAGCCCATTGGTTTTTGCTAACCTTTCTTTTCAACCTTATTTTAACTCTGTTTCAGGAAGGAATTTCCTCACAAAACACAACTGGCCAGTTCTCATAATACACAGTAGAGATTACACTTCCATAAAAATTTCAAGGAGGGAACTGATAAATCAGGGAAAAAGCAAACATGAAAAAAATAACCCAACTAATCCTGAAGACAATAAAGTTCCAGGACTATTTTGAATTTGTCTGTCAACTAGACAAATGGCTTCAGAGTTCCCTGTTCTGTTATCTTGGAGAGTCTGTGAGCCGCAAACCTCCCGGCTACATCTGAGGTGTGCTAAGTGCCAAGTTGCCCACGCACTGTTCTTATTGATGTTATCAAATAACCCCTTTTCCTCTTCCACTCACCTTGATCTCTGGTGACCACATGATTCCTTCTTCTTGTAGAGCCCATCTGGATTTTATACCAGTTGCTTGTTACAGCTTCTGCGTGACAAATGCTATATAGCCTGGCACTTCCAATTCTGGAATTCTTATGGAATCTACCTTTGACCTTTTCCTCACCATCTAAGCTAAGACATAAACTAAGAGTTGGATGAAGAATCTGGGCTATAAGTGAATATTGGGTGTTCATTTTGAACCTCGCTGGTGTAGATGAATCACAAATCACACACAACTCAAGCTGCACCCGTCAGTTAGGAAAGTGGTTACGCGCAGTGGCCTTGGGGTCAGGTGGACCTGCGCTGCAATTCTGGTTCTGTTGCTTACTATCCGTGTCATCTTGGGCAAACCATTTAAGCGCTCTTATTTCAGAATCATTCTCTCTTGAATTGGGATGTTAAGGATATTTGCCTTCGTGGGCTCTTTTGTAGATTAAATGAAATGATGTGAGTAGAGCCCTTAGTTTACTTGCTGACATGCAGCAAATGCCCGAAGTAAGTGGCATCTTCCAAGCTTTGTTGCTGTTTGTTCTGGGAATAAAGGGAAAGGCCCTTGTGTTCTTTCACCCCATTCAGATTGTGTGATCAGACTAGGTATGGGCTGGGCTGAGTAACAGGAGGAAAGCATTAGTCCTGTCCTGGAGGAAGTCCTGCCTTCCTGCATAACAGGGAGAATCAGGCTCCATGAGAGTCAAAGGGTATTTCATGACAAAGCAGTTGCAGAAACAGTAGTAAAATGCAGTGCTTCTACAACGCCCATTTTCTTAAGATGGAAGCATTACAAAACCGTCCTCCCTTATCTAAAGGTAAGCAGAAAACAAAAGTGATTTATTTTACTCTGAAAATAGCGTCTCACTCCTGGGCTTCTCCACACCCATATGCAGCACTGTGTACTTGGTACTGAGTCCCACTTGCTTAGTACCAACCCTACGCAGAAGTCACTCATCCTCACCTGGTGGGCTTGCTGCAAGAGCTCCATTCTCTCCTGAAGGATCTGACAGTCATATTCTCGGCTCTTCCTCAGCATCTGCCGCCGTAGCTTCTCTACCGCCGTCCTCAGCTCCTCTTGCTGTTTCTCACTCAGCAGTTCACCAAACTTGATAACAGTTTCTTGCTGCAGAGCATTGTACAAAGTAGCTTCTAGTTCCTGGATTCTCTGGCAAATAAAAGGAGAAAAGTCTAACTTTGGAATTGAGCATTTCCTATGTGGTGTGTGAGTGTACACATACGTGTGTGTATGGGAAGAGATGTGTTACGTTAGTCTTACAGGATCATAGCAATTAAATTCATTTCATAGTTTTTTCAAACTAACTACCCATATAATAATCCCATTTATAAGAGTCCATAAGAATCATTTATCCAATATGTTAACTTCTTAGATGATGAGAAATTTGTTGTTTTTCTTGGACAGCTTTCATTTTTAAAACGTTCTTACTTTGTTATAATAACTGTACATTCTTCTATTCTGAAATGTAGCTGAAAATAAGTTTGTTTTCTCTTCCATTTGACAGCCCTTCAAATATTTAAAGACATCTATTATAGTGGCCACATTTTTAGAAATAAGTATTGAAAAGTGGTCAAAGTTGGAATAAAATACTTGAAACTAGAGGTAAATTTAATGCACAAAATGCAACGACTCTTCCACATGACAGACCTCTGTACCTGAAGATGGCTTTATAATCCCCATATTTCTTCTTAAAATAAAAATCAGGAAATATGATCTAACAATGGCCTGGAGTCTCTGGAATTGGTCTGTTTTTAAAAATATATTTTTATTGATTTCAGAGAGGAAGGGAGAGGGACAGAGAGATAGAAACATCACTGATGAGAGAGAATCATTGATTGGTTGCTTCCTGCACATTCCGATCTGGGGGATCGAGCCTGCAACCCGGACATGTGCCCTGACTAGGAATCGAAATGTGCCCTCCAGGTTCATATATCGACACTCAACCACTGAGCCACACCGCCTGGGCAAGTCTTCTCTTTTTTTAGATGAAGAGTCTACTCTTCCTTACATCTCAGTTTTGGATTTTTTTTGAAATATGTTTCAGACACAGTTGCCAATATCTACAGTCTTGTTCCCTGTGACTTTGACAGAGGTAAACAGACATGCCCTGGTGAGGGATGTTTTCCTAACTCTTGTCATAGATTATGCAGATCTCATCTTTTAAAAGTTAAGTGCTGTTGTCTGAATGAGTATACACAGCCTAACTGTTTTATGTACAGGTAGAGGAGGCAAGGATAAAGGGTGGAAAGGAGGGGAAGAATCGTTTCCTTCTTTATTCTCTAGTGACCAACTCATTCTCTCTTTTCCCCATCAAGTAATGCTCAGAACCTCTTATTCATCTTGGAGGGGAAATACCAATTTATCTTTGTTATGAGCAGAAACTAAGTGCTTCACTCTTTTCCCAAAAGTGACTCAGGCTGCTTCCAGGAAAGCATTAGAAAAACTTCTACAAGCAACTCCCTGAAATGTTCCTCTTCTGAGTTTGCTCTTTTCTCTTGAGTCATTGTTGTGGATTAATGATGGGGGGTTTGCATATGGACAGAAGAAATGCAAGCTCTCGTCCAATATTAGGAATTGCTTGTTATGACTTTTGTACAGGAGAGTGAGTTAAGAGTGCTCCTCACTCAGCATGATCTGCAGGAGAGAAGGAATAGCCGATTTACTGATACAGCTTTGCTTATGGTGGCTGGATTATGGTAGTTAAGACCACAATGTCTGCAGTCAGATCTAAACACTACCTGCTTACCAGTTTGGGCAGATTCCTTATGTCCTCATATGTAATAGAGGAATAATATCACCTATACCTCTTAGGGATGTTGTGGGAAATAAGTGAATTAAAAATGTATATAACAAACATTAAAGACTTTATTAGTCTACCACTAAATTAGGCTCCCCAATGGATTTAATTCATTTTCTCTTTAATCTACATGGCCATCCAGTCTGTCTTTCATTAAAATATTATATAATGATATACATTTAATTAAAATTTTAAAGTAAAATTAAATATTTATTAAGTATTATAAGAATATTTTAATATTATAGCAAAGAGCTAGAGATATATTTTCTAAAATAAGAATTGGAAACCATTGAATAAATAAACCATTGCACGCTATGGCCTATTTGAGTATGTGGCATGACAAATTAAATCAGATGTTTTCCTCCATAGTATTTGATGTAAACACTCTGATTCTCTTGAGTGCCTGCTGTACCTACCATATATGCTTGGTCCAGAGCTTGTTTTCTGTAGTCTAGTTCTTCCTCCAGATAGCCTTTGATTTTGCAGAATTGTTCCTATAAAAAAGGGCCATGTTGATAAATAGAGTCAGCTGAGTTAACCAGAAAGTGATATATAATCATATTGATCAGTGTTTTCTCTAATTCCATCACAAGACAAATCACCAGTATTTGTAGGGTCATCGATTTTGTCTGTTAGGGAAATAGTTCAACTTTCAGCGTCTCACACAGACAATGTGAAAATCAATGGAAAGAAGCACAAAAGACAGAATGAACAATGCTTTAAAGGACTTTTATGCCAATCCAAGAGTATAGATTTTGATAAGATAAATGTTCACTAATAAGTATATCTGTGCAAATATATTATGATAGTGTATTTAGGTAAGGATGTTTTGAAATGTAATTTAGCAGAGTTGGATAATGAAAAATTCATCTGATGACATCTGTGTATGATTAGCAAACACAAAGATAGATAAGAATTCAGAGAGTGGCGGCGATCCCACCCACCACCACAATGCTACTTAATGGGTGTCTGTTCCTGAGGCAGAGCCAGTAGGAACTGGAGACAAATCTAATGTTCCCTTGAGTCCTCAGCTTCTGTGTGCCTCTCAGATTGTGCACATTTTCCCATTAGTATTTAAAAATATATCTTTGTGTATAATACAGCCCCAAGTACAGTCAGTTATTTCTTTGTGTGTATGACTGCCTTCAGTACATAACCGCCTGCAAGACCCATTTTGCTGGTGACTGTCCTGAGTACCTCTGAGCTCCAATGCCTAGAATAGTGCACAGTACAGGCTGAATGTGTAATTAATATTTGTGCATTTAAAGAGTTTTCAAGGGTATTTTCAATATAAACAGTTCTTGAAGTTTTCTGGGAACTTTGTTCCACAGTGAGTACACAAAATAATGGAAGGCTACAAACTTTCATCACTGCCAAATAAAACTGGTGGAAAGCAGTCATTTCCCATTGGCCTGTTCAATTTCCCTTTAATTTTTATGATACCTCATCTTTGTACTCACCATGTCACTTTCCAATTCCATCATTTTCTGGTGCAGGGCAGCTTCTGCTCCTTCGATTTGCTGGATCCACTGAACAAGACAAAAGTGTTCAACATGACTCCTTGGTATGGTGTATATGGTGCTCTCTACTGAGGTGCTTAGTCAGTTCCCCTTATATCTCAGGAAACAGACTAAGAACTGGTGCATTTTATCTCTTAGTTCAGAAATAAGACTATAGTTTTCCATTCATTCATTCATTAAACAAACGTATTCATTGATATCTACTATGTGCCAGGCAATGTGCTAGCTGTGCTGGTAACCAACACATTTTTTTGCCTAATAACACATTCTTGCCCACATGGAGAACACCATGGCAGGCTTTCTTGGGAAGTGACAATTGCACTGGAGTCTGAACAATGAGTCAAAGGTGATTAGGCAAAACTGAGGGGCAATTTCCAACCAGAAGGGATGTCCAATTCTCCATGGTTGGGGGGAGCATGATGAAAAGAAGAATGCCAAGTGAGACTGGAGAATTAGCAATTTTTTAATATATAAAATAGTACAGCTACTAGTAAGTGTTAACGAATCATTTTTGTTGAGTAGAGACATTTTAAAGCACATAAAAAGAACTTAGAAAATTTTCTTAACACTTAGAACATATAATTCTGTTATGTGACATTGATGTTAGCACTGAGCAATTCCCTGAATAAATTTCGACTTTGAATATTATGGTATGAACCTACCACACATATAATTTAAAAGAACAAGTCTTATACTGTGTCTCTACCAAGTTAAACATCAGCTTATCCCTTCAGGAGGTAATCAGGCATAATAATTAAGTGTGTAGGTTCTAGAACAGCCGTGGGCAAACTACGGCCCGCGGGCCGGATTCGGCCCGTTTGAAATGAATAAAACTATTGAAAAAAAAGACCGTACCCTTTTATGTAATGATGTTTACTTTGAATTTATATTAGTTCACACAAACACTCCATCCATGCTTTTGTTCCGGCCCTCTGGTCCAGTTTAAGAACCCATTGTGGCCCTCGAGTCAAAAAGTTTGCCCACCCCTGAACTAGGGAGAGCAAATCCCAGATATCATTTCACAAGTAAATTCCTCAATACGTATCCCTAACAGATAAGGCTTTTTTTAATTAAAAAGAAAAAAAAAAAGCATAACCACAAGGCCATTTCCACATTTTGAAAAATTAACATTAACATTGTTGTCTGGTACCTGGTCCATATTAAAATTTCCCCAACTGTCAGCAAAATGTCCTTTTTATTATGCTTGGTTTGCTTGAATCAGGATGCCAAAAAAGGTCATTTCACTATTTCTTTTCTTTTTTCCTAATCCTCACGCGAGGATATTTTTTCACTGACTTTTAGAGAGAGTGGAAGAGAGACGGAAAGACAGAGAGAAATATCGATATGAGAGAAACACATTGATTGGTTGCCACCTGTACATGATCCGAACAGGGCCTGCAACCTGCAACCAGAATCAAACCTGGGACCCTTGGGTCTGCAGGTCAACGCTTTATCCACTAAGCAAAACCAGCTAGGGCAATTTCTTAAGTACCTTTTTATTTTATAACCATTTTTTAAATGTCTTTGTTTTGTTTGAGTAAGATGATAGGCTCATTTTATTTGTAGAATTCCCTCATTTCAGATTGTAGTAAGCTGATTGCTTCCTCTTGGTTTCATTTAATTTATAAACAATCTTTATATGCAGTTAGGAATTAAGGAAGCATCTCAAGGGACTTACATAGTTCTCATTAGACCCAACCACGTATACATGACTCTCAAGTATGTGCGATTCTCAAGGCACCCTGAATACAGTCAGTTATCAGACTTATCTACCTGCTCTTTCCTCCTCTTTCACTCTTCCTACACCCATCAGGTTTAGACACAAGAGGGCAGAGCACAGTCTCAGGTTGGGCTTTCCGAATGAGCCTGCAGTGAGCTACCACCAGGTCCCAGAATCCTTTGGAAACAATTTGCATGTACACACCCAAGGAAAAGCCCATAAAAAGAGCCACATTCCAATTTACCACCTCTCAATTGTTAACACCACAAGCCCACAAATGGCATTACTTGTGCTAAAGCCCATGGTACCAAACCTAAACTTAATATCTGACCTAATTGCAGTTGTGACCTTTACTGGGAATACAATCTCGGTCAACCAGTCTGAAATTCTCTGGGCAACATTCTTTGTCCCTGGAGCGCTTTTCTCTTCCCCCGTAGGATCAAGAGGCAACCTGCATGATAAGACCTTTGCCTGCCTCCCCTGAAAAAAGGATGTCCTGGCCTAGAAATGCTGGTTTATTTTCTTTTGTTAATAGCTCCCTAGCCCCACCTTTCTTCCTATAAAAGCTTTCCCTTTTGCATGACCTCTAAGAGCGCTGCTGTAGTTGCTAGCTGGGATGCTGCCCAATCCATGAATCACTTAAAAAGCCAATCAGTTCTTCAAATTTAAGGAAGTACTGTATGATTTCACTCATATGTGGAATCTAATGAACAAAATAAACTAACAGACAAAGTAGAAACTCATAGGTAGAGAACAGACTGACAGTTGTCAGAGGGGAAGGGAGCTGGGGGACTGGATGAAAAAGGTGAAGGGATTAAACAAAAACAAAACAATACAAAACAAAACATAACAAACAAACAAACAAACAAAAACCATCATAGACACGGACAACAGTATGGTGATTACCAGAGGGAAAGGAGGGTGGAGGGAGGTGGCAGAGGGTAAATGGGGGTAAATGGTGACAGAAGGAAATTTGAGTTGTGGTGGTAAACACACAAGGTAATATGCAGATGATGTATTATAGAATTGTATACCTGAAACCTATATAATTTTATTGACCAATGTCACCCCCAATAAATTAAATTAAAAAATCTTCAAATATACTCAGTTGAATTTTGTTCTAACAAAATCCTTCTTTACCGGTTTCCCATCTTGGTAAGGATTGCTTGAATAATGTAATTTAGAACGTTTTCCATTTTTATAGAATTCTATTTTTAAGAGATTTCAAAGCAAGAATTATCCACCCACCCCAAATCAGTGTGTAGACTTTTTTTGGTGTGTGTTTTCTTTCTATCTGGGTTGTCTCACCCTGAAAAATAAAATATTAGGTATTCAATAACCCTACCCTGCTCTTTAGGTATTAAGCCAGGCACGGAGATGATTTGAAAGTCAGTACAATTTATTACCTTCTCTGCCAGGGACAGCACAGTGCTGGCCTGAATTATGGCCACTTGTTCTTCATTTCTTAAATTCTGTGAAAAAAGACAGAAAAAAAAATAAGCTGAAGACAGTTCAGATATTTACATTATCAGAAAATATTGCCTAAGTGCTTGCCACAGACACAAATGCATGGAACCTTAACAAATGTTCTATTTAGTAATAATTCTTCACAAAGAGTTCATTCAAAATCTATAAAAAGTATATTGTTTCTTTATACCTCTCAAACACTGACTTGGTTTTGTTTCACTATAAGCATACTTCATTAATAGTCATGCTATAAGAAGAGCATAAACCAAAATGAAATAAACAGTAATCTCTGCATAGCAGTTTCATGCGATTTCATTGATAATGTTCTCCCCTTTGACAATTGTTTAAGGGAAAAAATGGTGTAACTTCTCAACCTACATGTATCATTCATCTAAGATCTCAATGAACAGTCCTCCCACTGAATTAATATGCCTTGACCCTGCCTGGAAGGTGTTTTTAAAAAGAAAAAGGACTATAGCTTCCTGGTCCATTTTTATGTGGCTGCCACCAACCCTACTATTTAGCACCATTTGCAATTGCATGACTGATTAATTTCACGCTGGATGCCTCCAAGCAACAGTCAGAAGGCAATCAGCTTTAATCACTGCAGATGTGGTTGGCATTCAAATCAGAAACCTGCTCCTGAAAAGCATTTTACCAGTTCCCATTTCTGTCACTGCCTTCCAGAGATCCTTACAATCCTTTAGCCAAGTTGTCTGATAAACTGTTGATTCTCTCTGGAGAGCTACATCCTTCAGTGAACATGGCCTCCCACCTGCTATTATTTCACACGTGACACATTGGCAAGGATTTCTTGCCTCTTGTTAGGCAAATTCAATGCTTTCCTGCACTTATTTAATTCATACTTACCCCGTTGTCCCCCAGGATATCAAGCTGCTTTATGAGATCAGGGATGTTCACATCCTGCAAAATCAAGGAGATACACTCAAGTCAAAGACACAAATGTGGCTTCCCATTTTCCCAGTGCCCCACGCCTAATATAGAGAAGACATTTTAACCCTGTAATTCCTTGGGTTTTCAAGGAGGCACGCCTGGTTTTAAATTTCCACTGTGCTTCTTATAAGCTGTGTGAATTTTGGAAAACTACTTAACAGTTCATTCTCAATTTTGCCAATTGCAAAATGAAGGTAAAAAAATACCTCCTTCATAGGCTGATCTTGAGGAGAAACAGATTATGTCCCAAAGAGTCTAGAATGTAGTGAAGGTTTACATTAACTCATTAACTTTTTCATAATAGTTGTCCATTTTTTTCAGTCATGGTAGACTTTAGGTATAAAGAAAAATAATAGGTAGTAAATATAAATAATGAGCCAACTTCATTTTAATTAATGGAATTCTGAGTTGGTTGAGATTTTGACTGCCACATAAACTGTAACGCAGTCCTTCCTTCTTTTAATTGAGCTTTAATTTCATCTTTTGGAAACAGCTGATTTTTACTATAATCCTTGCATCACTTTAAAGCAAGTAAACTCCATTGCAAAGAGTTCCTTTGGATATACACTGAGTGGCCAGATTATTATAACTCAGTGTATAATAATCAGTACAATGAAGTGAATTAATTATGCAAATAATAATAATAATAAAACCTTGAGAGTATTTGCTTAGGAAGTTTTCAATATTCAGTATTTTTGGAAGTGTCAATGAAATACTGATGGGGTGGTAATAATAATCTGGCCACTCAGTGTAAATGACATCCATTGGGTAAGGTAGTTTATGATTTATCTAAAGAAAAAAGTATCCAAGGAAAAGATGAAGCAAAGTACTTTTCATATTTAATTAGAGCTGAATAAAAAATTGCTTTGCTTTACAAATTTTCATGTAGCTCAGGAAGGCCAGAGTTTAAACTTTGTGAAAGTGGTTGAAGATGGAAGTCAAGGAAGCAGAATTTTACTACCTCATCCCCTTCTCCTACCCCACACTTTTTACCTCATTAGTACCACTTTCTCCTCTTATGTTCAAAGGCAGTATAGCAGATCCTACCACAGGGGAAAGTCTAGCTCATTCTCATAGGCAGAGAGAAGGCAACTAACGCAGGATATTTGGCAGCTCAAAGTGGGAGCAGGAAGGGCCATGCAGAAGGTAAGGAGAGGCCAGGAATAGCGGGAGGCTTCCCAGTTTTACTTCTGGAATAGATATTTGCCATGTGATTTCATTACATTGAAGGACAATATTGATCCCAGGAGATGGAGCCATCTCCATTCAACCTTAATATTATTTACAATGTAATCCAATATCACTACAGATAGAAGTATATTTTGTCAAACTGAGCAATATGTTATAAACTTTCAAAAGAGAAATCTTCCCTAAATTAAACATACCTAAAGAGATGCTGAACTAGACAATTTCAAGGTCTCTTTTAATGCTGAAATTCCAAGATTATGAATTCCATAGCACTTACAGCCAACATCACAACAGAGACTCAACAAGTACATTTTTATCTAGCATACTTGAAATATGTTTACTGAAGTACTGAATTCATTGAATATTTCCCCTAGATAATTAAAGGTCATTATTTTAATATTTTGAATTCATATTCTTTATGTTACTCTGTTCTAAATAATCATGGCTTCCTGTGTTCTTTGTTGTTACATTTCACACATCTGTCACACATTTATTTTATGTTCTATTGATTTTCCAATGGACACGACTACTTTCAATTCTTACCCAGTTTGTATCAAAATGACATCCAGTGACCAAAAGACGAAAGTCATGAGCAACCTCCCCTTTTCCAATTCCCAGTGTTTCCACTTTCTTACAAACGTAAAACATCAAATATCTGCCTACCTTGACACCTTCTTTCATACAGTAGATCTGGAGAGCACTCACACCATCTGAGAATGGGTGAATTTGTAGATTAAATGGAGGGGACCGTCTCTCTCTTTCCTTGAAATACAGTGGAGAATATATGGGCATTAAAAAAAAAGCAACAACTGATTAAACACTAAACCAGTTGTCTGCTATTTCAGCAGTGTATCAATACGACATTTGGAAAAAAACAAAAAAGAACTCAAGATGTTCATGCTTAAATTTAATGGAAACGACTGATTAGTCAGCAAAGGTATGGAAGGGAATTTATAGATGGTGTCATCCAATCTTGCAAATGTTTTTGATCAGGGAAATGTGGGAAGTGGGGTTGCAAGTCAAACTATCTGAATATTTAGAGCTTTTAGGTATCACAAAGAGTTATCTTTTGACCATGAAGTTTTATGGCAGCTAACAGACTTTTGCATATTCAATCCATTCAAGCTTTATGAATAATGTGCTGTATATGGGCTACCAAAGACAACTCTTTTTCATTGAAGCATACTGACTAGTAACTCTATCCAGACCTAATTTGAAAGGATCTCAAGAAGAAATTGTTGGCAGAATAAGAGAAATTAAATAAGAATGTTTCTTATCCTTTACATTTCAACATACATTCAACCAGATCCTAAGCCAGATTCTGCATGATACAATCAAAATCTTATTTGATTGATACATTTTACTTAAAAAACAAAAACACAATTCTGAAATTTGGTTAGATTAACCAAAGTATTTCTCAAAACAAGTTACCTTGCTTCTTAGCTTTTGGCATAAATGCATTATAGACTAAAAAAGTTGACTGCAAAATTCAAATGTCTAATGATAAAATAATTTTGCATATAGTACACTTTGAAATATAAGTTTTAAGGTGACTTTTTTCAAGTCAGAATTAAATGAAGAATGGAAATGATTATTTAAAAGCAATGAATCATTGATGAAGTTTGAAATTGCTTCTTTAAATTATTTAAAGTCTATTCATTAGTCTTGTTCATCAAGGCATTAATAGTGTTGAAAAAATACAGTATCTGGGCAGACATCCTGAATTGCATCAATGCTTTACCACTCACTAATCACAGGACTTGGGTGACGGATTCAACCTCACTTGCCTCATCTATAAAACCTGGATTGTGGTTGTGAGGTCCAATGAGAGTTTGCAGCTGAAATGCTTAATTCAGCACCTCACACATAGCACGAGCTCCATGTGTGGTAGCTATTATGATTATTATCATCATTATGATCATCATTTCCTTACTTCTAGCTCTAGGTTTCGAAACTCCAGCAGTTCATTCTGGTCTCTGGCATCCTGCAGTTCCTGTTGTAAGCGGTGATTTTCTGCCTCCTGCTTTTCTATCTAATAAAGTAAATCCTCAAGTTAGGAGAACATTGCCAATACAACTTTGCGAAGCAAGCATAGATAGCATTCATTTACTCAGTGAATAAACCATCTTTCTAGACCATGAAAAAAAATCCCAAGTAGATGTGACTACGGCAAGTCTTTGGCTTTCCTTCCAGTTATCCTTCGGTTGAGTTTTTCAGGTCATAGAGGAAAACGCCGGAGGACACCTCCATTCATTGAGATAAAGTCTAGAGACCCTGTGAGTAGTGAATCTGAGGGTACTCATTATGGCTTTGCTGGGGATCCCAGAAGTAGACTGAATGGGGTAAACAATGGAATCTTATACCTCTTATTTCTGGAGTTACAAGTTGTCGGGAAAATAATTTTTAAAAAACATCTCTGATCATATATAAATTTTGCTGAATTCCAGTTACCTTCAGAGTAAAGCCAAACTTCTCAATATGGAATTTAAAAACCTTGATATTCTGGTTACCAGGTAGCTTTCCAGTTTTAGATGTTATCACTCTCATCTCAACACATTCACACACTCACACGAACACATACACACTAGAATCTAGAAACCCAGATCTACTCCATGGACTGACTACTTCAGGAGCTGCCTTTGCTCATCTCTCTGCCTAAGAGGGGTCCCCCCACTTCTTTTCTAGGTGAGGAAATTCTACACTTCCTGGAACATCAAGCTCTAACATTTCCTACTGTAAGAGCTTCCATGTCTACCCATCCAGAAATCATAACTCCTCCTCTGTTTTCCTATAGGGCTGTCCTATAGGACTTCTAGTATAACCTGATGAAGCATGGACTTAAGTTGGTTGTGTATGAACATGCCTCACCCTATAGACATGGTCCATGTCTACAAGGAATCAACAAATTTCATGATCTGCAAAGGGTTATGGCAGGGGTGGGCAAACTTTTTGACTCGAGGGCCACGATGGGTTCTTAAACTGAACTGGCGGGCCGGAACAAAAGCATGGATGGAGTGTTTGTGTGAACTAATATAAATTCAAAGTAAACAACATTACATAAAAGGGTACGGTCTTTTTTTTCAATAGTTTTATTCATTTCAAACGGGCCGGATCTGGCCCGCGGGCCATAGTTTGCCCACGGCTGGGCTATGGGCTGCCTTTGATATTAGCTATGTGGGTAGAGATTTCTCAGTAATTATTTAAAACCTTAAAGTTAAAAATATTAAAAAAACAGGGGTTTTTCAGCATAGGATGAATTTTACTTTCCCAAGTATACATACTTGAAGTAGGATGCTTTGCTTTATTGTTGTTTCAGTTCTGTTTCACTTTTAAAAATCTGAGCTCAACATTCTGCTTTTAGCCCAAAGAAATCAAGACCAAATGAAATCAGACAGAAGACATAATGGGAATTATTTTTTAGATGATAAAGAGATGTAATAGCACATATTACTGGGCATTTCTGAGACTGCTAAAATCCTCTTTTACTCATAGCCTCGTGATATACAAAAATTAGAGGGAAATAAAGATGGGAAAATAGTGAGCTGTGTGACATTAATTCAAGTTTTTTTACATTAGATTGTTGTGGTCAAGAAAATTTTTGAAAGTTTTCAGAAGTTGACTTAGATCACAAAAATATTCTACTTTCTAGCATCTTGGATTGGGACTAGAGATGGGATATTTGGGGAAATTCCTGATTCTGGTGTTTAGTGCTAGCAAGGAGATAATTGGTTTGTAGGTTGTAATTCACAGACCAGAGCCAATGTCTAATAAGGTTTCTTTGTAGGGACCCTTAACCTTTCTGAGAGTATGAGTTCTCAGTCTTGAAATACCCACCTACTTTGTATCTATCAGCCCTGTCTCTAAACATGCAGAAGGTGAGATAGGATGTCCTAACTTTGCCAGGCCATAGGGGAAGGAGACAAGTACTAGTATCTTCTTTCCTTTCTTTGTGGTTAATTTCTATTACTTGTTAAAGCTAGGAAATATTGGCAGAAATTATTCTAAGATAATTTCTATATAATTTTGGGTAGACCTACAGAATTATTTCCCTTATTCCAGTGGGCTTTCAAATTCTATTTTTGTCAAGAAAAATATAAAGGATTATGTTGCAATTTTAAAATTATATTCCTGGAAAGTAAACACCAAAGGAAAAGCCACCTTTGAACTTAAAATGATCTGTTATATTTCATTGCCCCAAATCAAAATAACCCATCATCTGGGACTAAACTAGGCTTTTGCATCTTGATTTGTTGAACAAAATCCTGGACATGAAATTTTGTGCTTTGGAGGAATCTTTTCAAAAGTTCTTTTATTAAAAAAAAAAAAATGAACAGCCAAGTTGAGCAAAAAGACTAAAAGTGAAAACTGTCTGTGATAGGTTGCAGCATGGACTTGGAGTCATAACCTGTCACTTCCTTGCACAAAATAACAAGTCCTATTCATAGTGTGCTTTTTGTAGATGGACAACCACATAGGATGTGTGCACGTGTGGGTGTGTGTATATATATATATATATGTATGTACAGCATATATACAGTATATATATATATATATGGCTAACACATCAATAGGTGTCAGGAATCACATCTTTTTGCGTTGGCGCAATGCCCAGCACAGAGCCATGCACACGTGCCACTCCACTGATGGTGATGGCGGTGACAGGGATGCAGTCGAGCACGCAGCAGAGGAGAATACAGCACCGAGAAGCCGCCCCTTCCCCTGGCCCCTGTGCCACTCCTGAGAGGACCCCTGCTGCTCCTGGATCTCTCATCATTGTCTCCTCTGCCCCACTAGGGTATTGTGCCCAACATACCTTTTCTAAAAGCTCCTGGTTTCTCTTAATGAAAAGTTGTTTATCTTCTACCCAGTGTGAATCCTGTTTGACAAAGAATATCGCGCAGTCAGCATTTCAGAGTGGCACGAAAGAGCCCGTGTTGTCAAACCACTTTGCCAGAGCCGTCTTCTTTTCACCCAGTTTGTTTGCCTGCCAACCACTGGTAAATGACACCCACCCCTGCCAGCTCCTTATTCAAAGACAACTGGGGCCAAAGCTGCCAGGAAAATTGAACCCCCTTTTCATTGTCACTCACTACCTCTACCTTTTTCAGTCTGAATAATCCAGGACCAGCCTTTTGGGGACTCAGAAGTGACCACAGAGGCAAAGAGTGACAAGGGTCAGAATGCACACAGGCTAGATACATATGGATGGAAAACATTAAAATGCAGAACCATAAATGTAGCGGAGAGGCAACGAATGCAGCTGCAGGGGTGGGTCCTTGTCTTAGCAGTGTATGACCACCCGAGGCTATTGGTACAGGGCTTCTCTTCCTCTGGCATCTCCCTCTTGCCCAACCTCATTCGCTGTTGTGGCTGGGTTCACGCTCTGGCCAGAAAAACACCAGGGACAGAAACACAGCGCTGAACATTCTGACACATTTGAGAAAGGTCACTGTGGAGAGCCAAGCCGTGTCCTGGGTGTGGCCCATGCACAAGGGTGATCTAGAGGAAGGTCAGATCGAATGGCCAGCAAACCAAATGCCTACCTGCCCTTTCTGAGCCAGAGTCGCTTCCAGATCTTCAATTTTGGCTTTATACCTTAGCACCTCTGCTTGGAGCTGTTCTTGAGCCTAGTGAAATCAAAAATCCAGAACTCAGTAAGTAAAATGGTAACTCAATATTTTTCTTCCCCTCATCTTCCTTGATTAGAACTCAACAAGGAAAAAAAAGAAGAAGAAGAACATTCTACGACCAAAGAATCCCTTAAAACTATTTTTGTGATCTAAATTCTTGCTTAAAATTTCAGGGGCTCCTTTTGCCATTGGGTTAAAATTCAAGCTCTTTAGTTTGGGACTTGAGATTTCCCGTTATATTTCCAATCTTTTCCCACTGTTCAGGAATACCACAGTCTACCCCTTACCTGCTGGTGATCTCTCGTCTCCTAAATATGTTTTGTGACTCTCCAGCTTGCTCTCATTTGAAAAGCCTTCTCCCATTTTGCCTCTCCAAAATCTTTCCATTCATTCAGAGTCAACTTTGTGACCTAAATCTAAATCCAAATCCAAGTATTTATGTATGTATGTGTCCATGTGTATGCCAAGTGTTGTGTGTATTAATAATTTTGAACACTAATCTTTTAAGGAATAACCCTACTTCATTTAGTGTAGTAATTTATTCTTAGATATTCTTGTATTTTCTGTTTACGATTCTATTTTCTGCAAAACTTAGGTTTTGTTTTTTCTGAACATACACATATTTTTCTCTTCTCTTATGATCTGCATAAATTCTTTGTTACAAAGGTGAATAAAGTCAGGAATAGTAGGTATCCTTTCCTTATTCCTTATTGAGAGGAGAATATTTATTTGAACTGTTAAGGATTATATTTATCTTTATCAGGTTAAAAAAATGCCAAGCTTAATTTTGCTAAGAACTTTTTTAACTTTGAATGGGTGTTGAGTATACTTTATTTTTTTTCTTGCATTAAAATAATTTCATCTTTTGTTTTCATTGATACTATTTTATCTATATTACATAGTCTATTTTTCATTTCTACTTCTTTGATTTTATTGTGTTGCTTTTTCCAAGATCTTGATTCATTTTAGACTATTTTTCTTTGCATGGTAAGTGTTTTTTTTTTATTTTATTCTAATAGCCAGAGATAAAGCTAAACTTTTATTTAGATGGGAAAGTGAGGTTAGAGTAAAACAACTAATTTCTATATGACCAGCTCTCCAAAACACAAGGCATATGCTATCATTTTAATTGGCAATACTATGTTAGCTAGAATGCTTAATAAATGCTGATAATGAAAACCACAACTATTATAGTTATAGGACATAAATATGAAGGCGTACACATACACCCCTTTCTGATGATTGCTTTTCTGTAAACATGTTTACTCATATGCATGTATATATGTCACCACTTAAAAATATATAACTATAGTATCTATCCTTTCCCACTAAACAACTAACAGTAGGTCCTACAACACTCCTCAGCATACTTGAGAGCAAGGGTGGGGAACGTCCAGCCCACAGGACGTATGAGGCCCGTGGTTTAGCCCTGCCAAGGAATTAGGGGTGAGTTCATTAAATGTTTGACCAGATATATAGCAGGCTAATTTCTAAGTTGATTATTTTGTATGGCCCACAAATTATGTTATAAAGATCCAAATGAGCCCTTGGCAGAAAAAAGGTTCCCCACCCCTGCTCTAGACCCTGTAAATAGGAAGGAGGATAAAACCACTGGGAGATCACACTCCTTTTTGCCCCTTGTTAATTAATCTCTAGGGCAGTTATGGCAGGGTGGTTCTAACTCTGAACTCAGAAAGACTAGGTTCATATCCTAGCTGTAATCTAAGCTACGTATTCTCATTTTAATTGCGCTAAGCTACATTTAAGTCTTTCTAAGATATTATTTCCACTTCTATAAAAAGAAGATAACAAAAGCATTTAATGCATAGGGCTATTTTAGGATTCCATGATATAAATGTATATAAAGTGCTCAGCACAATGCCTGGAACACAGCAAGCACTAAATAAGTGTTAAATGTTAGTATTGTGTGTGTTTAGTTTTATATTTTTGAAATAGGCTTATGAGAGGCAATTGTAAAAAATGGAAGGAACATCTGATCCAGTAAGACTTGAGTTGGAATCTCAGTTTCCCACTTATTACCTGTGTGATCTTGGGCAATTCAATGAACCTCTCTCAGCCTCAAATTCCTCTTTTATAAAATACCTGCCTTTGGGAGCCGTCACAAGGATTAAATGAGATATTGGCAGTGGAAATTCTCGGGAGGCTGCTGATGTAATGCTGTGTACTTACTAAGGAAAGAAACTGGCTAACCATTGCTTTTGAAAGACAAAGGTGATTTTTTTCCCCAAGAAAGAAACTGAAAAAATGGATTATCAACATTCAATATTGTCTAGTTTTGAAAATGTTAAGTTTTCAAATAGCAAGATACTCAAGTATCTAAAAGAAACAAAAGCATCGATCCAGGCTGGTTCTAATGTCTCTAGATCCAAGGCTTGATGACATAAAAGATACAACAGTTCAAAAGCCGCAGAGGAGAGAAGGGCACAGGAAAAGCTACCCTATTGATATTTTTATGTCGGTGAGTCTTTGATGCTGCCAGGGCTGTGTAAAAAGCCAGTTCCGAGCACTCTCCGAGACACACACTAACCTTGGCCTCCCTTTCAGCGTCGATGATGCCTCCAGTCTGCTCCTGCAGGAGGGCATACGCTCTTTGGAGGGCCTGGTATTCTTTTGTTAGTTGTCGAAATCGTAGCTCAGATTCTTCAGCTGCTAAACTCTTGAGGTAGAAAAAATAAAAAAGGCCAAAAAATAATTACGCTAAGTTCAGGTCCTGTGTCCAATGTGAAATATTAACCTCCGTCCACTTTAAAAAAATTATCTTTATTGTTTAAAGTATTACAGATGTTCCCTCCCACCCCCCATTGACACATCCACCTCAATCCTGCCCCCTCCCTGGGCCTTCCCTGCACTATTGTCTGTTCATGTACTATGCATATATGCACATAAGTTCAGAAGTTAAAGGTTTGTTTGATTTTGAATTCTGTGTGACTTATTCTTAATTCTAAAGCATGTGGATGGACAAAAATACTGTAGTTCTTTAGGAGAGGGTGTTGGGGGCTGGGTCAAAAGGTGAAGGGATTAAGAACTACAAATTGGTGGTTACAAAATAGTCACAGGGATATAAAGTACAGCGTAGGGAATATAGTGAATAATATTGTAATAACTATGGATGGTGCCAGGTGGGTCCTGGAAATATCAGGGGGACACTTTGTAAAGCATATTGTTGTCTAACCACTATGCTGCACACCTGAAACCAATACAAAATAATATTGAAAGTAAACTGTAATTGAAAAATAAAATTTAAAAAAATACTGTAATACTTTCTACCTCAAGAAATGCTTTACTATTTATTTTAACAAGAGAAGCATTTGTTTATACATTTCTAATTATTACCTCTTTGGGCTTGGGTTACAGTCAATTTTGGATCCAAATGAGAAGAATGTGTACCCTGATTATGGGTCCAAATTTGAGAAAATGATATTCATAATTTTAGTCTCACTTGTTTTCAATACATTCATATCCAACAACTTCTTCCCCAGATAAATTATGAAAAACATAGTTTTACAGCTTAAGGTCTCAAACTTCAGAGCACAATACAATCACCAGGGAGTTCTGTGAAAAAATGCAGATTCTGGGGTTCCACTCTATAGATCCTGGGTCAGGAGTTGTGTGGTAGGGCCCAGGTGTTTTCATTGTAATTGAACTCCTTAGATGGTTCTGATGAAGGTGGTTGACAGTGCACACTGCTTAACAGTGTCTTAGATTATACCTACAAACTTGTTTCTTGGTTCACAGGTTCCTTTGCTGAAGAATTCGGGGACAGTAACTTTTATTTTGAAAGAAGTTTTCAAGTTACAGAGCTGAACTTTAGAGAATCTTGTAAAAGGGCTACATGACACAAGTGAACAATTTCCTAAGAGGTATCAAAATCAAGTATGGTCTCAAAATTGGTCTGAAGTCTTATTTCACTATTATGAAATCATTTTGTGCTGTTCAAAAAGGAGATACAGACGTGAAATGCTTTTTCTCCCCCTTAAAAGAAAGATTTGGTGACATTATCACCAAAGACTAGAGAAAGGCTTACTTCGTCTAAGTCATCATCGGGAGTAGCTGGTGTTCGGTCTGTTCTGAATGAGGCCATGGATGATGTCTCTGAGTCCATGGAGTCATCATCATAACCAATAAATGGGTCCAAAACAGGCCTCTAATGGAGGGAAAGTACATATTTACTGACACAGATAAAAGTGGGAAAAGTTGATACATTATTAAAGCACTGTTAACTGGCATATGTGAAAATGATTATAAAAGACATGGATCCTTTAATGCTTCCTTGAGGAAATAAAAATATGGATACGACCATAATAATTCTAATGCATGTTTATCCCGTATTATTCAATTTCTGATTTTTTTGGGGAAACTCACTAATATTGGCTCTCTTCATAGAAACATCGTAACCTCTTTTACAGTACATTTTATACCATGATGAGTTTATGTCATTTACTCCTTTCAGTATTTAAAGCTAATCAAGGGACTCTGAAAGGCCAGGCATCTCTGTGAAGAGGATTATCAAATCTGAAGTCTTACCACCTAATTCCATAACCAAATGAAACGATGTCCCCAATAAAAACAAAAATCAAACAAATAGACAAATTAAACAATAAGACTTTGTGATTTTATTATTTAATAAGAGGTTACACAGATATTGGTGAATTGGGACTATTATTACCCATAATATTGTGCAAGTAAATAATGAAAATACAATAATCAGTCACAGGGTAGGTATCAGATGCTAATATTCAGTAAGAGACACTCCATCCTATGTGTCACTTGTACGTTCCTGGAGTGTGACTCTCTCCAACTTGTCAGATAACCCTTTCTATGTCAAGCCTTGTGGCTTCCTAACTCAGAGAAGGTCATATGAAAGCAAACCTTTTCAGGTTAAAATGTTTTGGACTGAAAACTGTCAAGAGAAGAGACTTTCTTCTAGTAAATAAAGCCCATGGTTTGAACTTCTCGGGAACACCTGACTTATCACATCTTTGCAGGAAGATTCCTTGGCAAGCCTCACTTCTCTGGCTGTGGCAAAGCCCGCTAACCTAGTTTCCTCATTACCTTAATTGGCTTGGAACTTCTTCTATGCTTTCTTCTGCGGATGAGCTTTTCTCGGTCCTGGAAAACAGACCAAGGACTTTTCAGACCTTGAATTGGTACATTTTTCCTTACAGGTTTTGTTGTTGTTTGTTTTGTTTTGCATTGCAAAGACAGAGTTGTTTTTCCCAGAGACATTACATATTTCTATTTAAGATAAGATTATATTGCCAGGCTGGTGTGGCTCAGTAGTTGAGCAGCAAACCATCAACCAGGAGGTCCCAGTTCTATTCCTAGTCAGGGCACATGCCTGGGTTGTAAGCTTGATCCCCAGTGGGGGGCATGTGGGAGGCAGCCAATCCATGATTCTCTCTCATCATTGATGTTTCTATCCCTCTCTCCCTCTCCCTGGGGAAAAAAAATTGTTGTGTAAATTTTAGCAACTTTTGGGTTTGATGCTTAAATATTTTCAAAGTAAGGACATTCTACAACTTGTGCTAATAATCTATGTAGATCTGAGAGCCTCACAATGAGGAAGCGTACTGTGTTTCTAATCAGAATCCTTTGTTTTATCCTCAAGATCAAGTAGCTCTGAAAATAGTTACTCATATTCTCCCAAAGCACAATGCTGCAGTTTTCTCAAACCCAAAATTACTTTCAATTTAAATGTTGAAAAAATACCATTTCACAACAAAGGAAAGCCTTATTCTTTCTTTCAATCACTTGACAGGCATAGAAAACTACCTTTGACTATTTTTGGGTCCTTGTTCTCACCAGCAGCCTCTGGAGATGGGAACAGTGTCTTGGCTGAAATCATCTAGTGCAGTGATTTTCAACCTTATTCATCTCATGGCATATATAAACTAATTACTAAAATTATCTGGCACTAAAAATATATATTTTTTGCCAATAAGACAAAAAAAATAGGCATGATTTTGATTCATTCACACCAGATGACTATTCTTGTGTTGGCTGTTGTCATATTTTTATTTGACAACCTTAGAGAGAACAAATCAGTGTCCCTAGTCAGGTATTGCATGTTTCAAAAATTCTTGCAGCACACTGGTTAAAAATCACTGATCTAGTGGCTTCTGAGGGGTGAGGGTGTGGGGGGGAAGTTCTCGTTGGAATTTTCAGGGAAATGAAAGCATATCTAGAAATAATGATTTCTTGATTCATTCTTGTGAATAGAGATATCCTGGGAATTTGGTGTTCATCTACTAAGTCAGTGGTTCTCAACCTTCCTAATGCCGCGACCCTTTAATACAGTTCCTCATGTTGTGGTGACCCCAACCATAAAATTATTTTCGTTACTACTTCATAACTTTAATTTTGCTACTGTAAACAATATGTAATTATATATGTGTTTTCTGATGGTTTTAGGCGACCCCTGTGAAAGGGTTGTTCGACCCCCAAAGGGGTCACGATCCACAGGTTGAGAACCGCTGTACTAAGTACTTCAGGTATTTACTGTACAAATTCAAAGGTAGATGAGGTAAGGGGCACTTATGTCTCCCTGAGAGTCTGCTTGACATGCCTCAATGTGTCCAAATTCTATAAGAAACTTTTAGCTTAAACTCAGGATACTTAAAACCAAACAAATCCCTAGACTAGTGAGCCTGTGAAATTTATGAAGGGTGTGGAAGTGAAGGGAGAGGCATAGCATTTCAGAAGGTTATGTTCGATAAATAAGCTGGTTTAAGTCATTGGTGTTAACCTTTCTGATTTCTCACTTTTATATGTAAAAATATTTTGATCATGCAACTTCAATATATCTGAAACTTTAAAAAATGTATGCTTACATCACTCTCCTAATAGAGTATATGCATTATAACATATACTCAGCATAGAACATTTTAAAAGGGTAAACCACAAGTAACTATATACAAAAGTTATAATCTTTTCTTCCCTGGGCTCTAAATCACCTTGCTCACTCTATTTGGAGACTATTGCCTAAACACCCCCCTCACTAGCTCCTCGGGACCTTGGCTTGGTCCTGAAGTGAGAGTGACCAGAGGTGTCATTCACAACATAAAGACAGGGAGGCAGAGAGGCAACCCAAAGGCATTAAAGGCCTTAATCCACAGCTGTTGGTAACACGGACTTTAACCAGATGCAAATGGGAGTAATACTTGCTCTACCTGCTTCACCAGGTACTCGAGTCATGGTCAGAAGATCTGGACTGCAATCTCAGCTCTGTCACTACTTATGACGTGACTGTTCAACAAATATTTATTAAACTGCAACTATGTGCTAGATACTGAATTAGAAGTTGGGAAACAAGAAGAATATAGTCCTATTATTATTGTAGGTGAAATATTTAACCTGTAAGTCTCAGAATCTTACTGGAGGCAGTTATAAGATATGCCCACATGACCTACCTACTCACAGTACAATGCATTTGAAAGTTTGCAGCTATTATTTGTGTTACCAGATTAGTTAACAAATTAATCCTATATAATAAAAGCCTAATATGCTAAGTGTCCGGTTGTCCAGTCAGCCATTCAACCAATTAAAGCATAATATGCTAATGATATGCGAAGGCTGCTCAACCGCTCGCTATGATGTGCACTGGACACCAGGGGGCAGACATTTGACCAGTCGACCAGTCACTATGACATGCACTGACCACTAGGGGGCAGATGCACTGACCGGTAGGTTAGCTTGCTGCTGGGGTCTGGCTGATCGGGACTGAGCGAGATGGGCCGGACACACCCTGGAGCCCTCCCTGGCTGGCCAACCTCCCGCATCCTTCCCTGATCCTGATCGTGCACCGGTGGGGTCCCTCAGCCTGGCCTGCACCCTCTCACAATCAGGGACCCCTTGGGTGATATCAGATAGCCGGTTTTGGCCCAATCCTGCAATCCAGGCCGAGGGACCCCACTGGAGTATGAATTCATGCACCAGGCCTCTAGTTTATTATAATTACTGATAATCAGATTATAACTGAAAAGGTATAAAACAGTTCAACAATATAAAGTATTTTTGGAATAGTGTCTCTTGAACCTATTTACATATTAAACATATGAACTTGGGCCTTTGGGGCTAATCCAAAATTATTAAGTGTTCCCAGTGTATGGTGGTGCCTTGGCTACTTATCCTTGGGAACAGCTTAGGGTTCACAGATTGATCAAGACCTACCCTGGTGAGCTCATCAATAATGTTCTGCTGCTCAATGACCTGAAGTTTGAGAAACTCTGTCTCTTGTTCTTCATTAGCTTGATCGAGGTCATTCAGAGATTTTAATTTTTTCAAGGGTGGATGGGTTGTTATTTTTTCTCTCTGGATTGGAAAAGAGGAATGTACAGGTGAAGACTTTAAAAATCCCAAATGTTAGTGATTAACATAAAACATCTATAGAAACTTTATGAGGCTCCAGCTAAATTTAAAACTTCCCAGCTTCAATACACACACATGCCAACTAAAACTCTCAAGTACACTTAGCTGCTATAATAAGTCAAAATCATTGGCAAGGTCTGGAGATCTCGATCGCTGTAGTGAACGCCTGTGAAGGAGTGCATTGGCATATGACTTATCCATACATAATAAAAAAGATGGCATCTATTCCCCCACTATCATGAAAGCTCTTTGAAGATGAGAGTACCACTGTACAGTTCTGTGAAGGGCACATTCGTGAAATTCTTGGAAGGAGGTGTCTGGCTGAGGAGCTCTATTGAAACTTTACTTCTCTGTTTCAGACCTTTTGAAGAGCGTGTGCAGATTCCTGGAAGCACTCCTACTGTTCTGCAAACTTAGACACTCTGTAAAACCCAGAGCCAGCAACCAACTTTTTTTCCCCCCCCCCCCCCCCTTAAAGGTTCCTTGCTTACATAAGGAAAAATCTGAGCTTTCATAAATAGCATTGTATTTAAAAAACAAAGCCGCGAGAGAGCAGTAAGTCAGGTGACTGGGTGAGCTGAGCAAGGACGCTGCGGTTTTACAGCGTCTGGGACACCTACCATTTCGGAGTTTTCCTTGGTAACGGCTTTCAGTTTCTCCTCCATGCGTTGCAGGGACAGCATCAGCTCGTCGTTTCTCTTGGCGAGGCACTTGTTCCTTTCCAGGAGAGGTTTACACTGCTTTTCGGTTTCCCGCACGCGCTTTAACTGAGAAGACACAAGTTACAGTTTCCTTGAATGGCATTTCGTCACACTCTTCAGAACCCTCCAACAGTCTATGACCTTAAAGGAGGTGCTGCCGAGATTCTGTTTTTGGAAACGTTCAGGAAGAGGAATCGCACTCCTGTTGCCCTAGACTCCTCCAGCCCAGGTACCCTGCTATGCTCAGCCCCAGCCCAGCCTGCTCACACCGCCCTGGGCCTCACTGGCTGGAAGAATCACACACACAATCACTAAGTAGTACAATCAGGGCCCGAATCCAAGCGTGGTTGTCCCCGAAGCCCATTCTTCCCATCAGAGATCTTGCCAAGTCTCCTGACTCACACTAAAGCTGTTTATTTTTAGGACAGCTTTATTGAGAAAAACAAAACAAATGAAACATATTTCTGAAACTCTATTGATATTTGTGTTTAAGAACAACCAATTCTCACCAAGCCTTGGTGAAGTATGGTTGTGCTGTTACCTAGCCACCAATAAACTGTGACCATACTCCGGTTGGCCCCTTTAGTCTAAGGCAGGGTTTCTCAACCTCTGCACTCTAGACATTTGGGGCCAGATTTTACTTCTGTTGTGACAAGCTGTTCTGTGTATTGTGGGATGTTTAGCAGCATCCCTGGCCTCTGCCCACGAGATGCCAGTAGTTCCCTCCCAGTTGTGACAACTAAAAATGTCTCCAGATGTTGTCCAAATCGCCTCTAGTTGAGAAATACTGGTTTAAGTTTGTAAATGTTGACATAGGGTAATCATGAACAGTCTCCCCTTTTCCTCTCAAAACTCTATTTGGATGACATATTTTATGGTCACCCTATACATCATATATTTCCATGTCAAAGTTCTCCTGATTACTTCATTCATTTCGCACTAATGGCTGTGACTGGGAGTAGGCATTGGGGGCGGGGGTACCAAAATAAGGAACGGGGAGGGGTGTATCAGAAATAGCTGAAAGGCTGTTTAAAGTACTCTTGTTTAGGAGAACCTACCATTTGGGGAATTGCTGCGATAGGAGACTTAGCTACCTATGAATATTTTAAAAAGCTCTTGTGATTCTAAAGCAATATCCCCCAACTCTGTCCCAATCGCCCTTTGAAAAATCCCATCTCATATCAAAGGCCAAAGCTGAATTTATATCTCATGATAGAAGTCAGTGTAGTGGGTAACTTCAGAAGGAGTCACAAGAAGCAGAGGTCTGAGACACTGGTAATCTTCCACTTCTTCATCTGGGTGGAGTCACATGGGTATATCACTTTGGGCATATTTATTGAGCTTACCTTTATTATTTGTGGATTTTTCTCTATTGCTATACATCCATAATATCATATATACGCCTATCACATAATGCTTAACCCAAAAATAAAACATGCTGACGAGAACTCACCAATTCATTTCGTTCATCTCCAAGCAAGGTATTCCTGTCTTCTAATTTTCTTATAGTGGCATTCAATTCAGCTATTCTCTTTTGATTTCTCCGCAAATCCTACACACATGAAAGTTAAAATGGGTAATTTGCCAAGAACACTACTCACAAAATTTTGGAATACAGTTTATAATAGTAATAGGTTTACGTCCTTTCATCTGGCTTACGAGGTGAGAGTAAAATGTTCTCTTATTCAGAGAAGAGCAAATATTTACCCATTTTGAACCCCCAATATTTACCACTTGGGTTTAAGACCAAGCCTAGTTGAAACTGCAGATGACTTTTATTTGGCAGCTACTCCCTGGAGCTCTGACTCCTGGCAGAGGGAGAGGTAGATGTCTGATCAGCTTATTAAATCTGTGAGCCATGAGACGACGGTCATGTTGTGATTGTGTGAGGTCCAAGGAGCATTCTTCTGTTGTGGCTAGACATTGCTTCCCACGGCTTAGACAGTATCCTGCTATGAAACTTAACCGAAGAGCTCGGCTGGCATGGCTCAGTGGTTGAGTGTTGACCTATGACTGAGAAGGTCACTGTTCGATTCCGGGTACGGGCACATGCCTGGTTTGCGGGCTTAATCCCCAGTGTGGGGCCTGCAGGAGGCAGCTGATCAATGATTCTCTGTTATCATTGATGTTTCTATTTCTTTCTCTCCCTTCCTTTCTGAAATCAATAAAAAAAGAAATTAAAAAAATAAACTTAGCCAAAGAGGGGATAGAGTATCAGGTAGAAATGGGGTTTATAAATTCCTGCATATTCCTGGAGAAGAAGGTCTGAGGAGAAGGTTGGTGCATGACCTCCATGCATAGAAGGAAACAGAATATAGGATAGCCATTGCTGGTATATTTTGCTCAGGGCAACTGGCTTCCTAACTGGCATAATTGTTATGGATCAGCTTACACACAGCAGTCATGGCTTAATTCTATTCTCTAGAGTCCATAGGACCATTATCATCATACTCTTGCAATGCCATTATTGTCTTACATTTTGATAGTGCTGTATTGTTAACAAGGCAGTTTCACACTCACTGTATCCCTAGATTCACAGTATCCTAAAGGATTCAGCAGAACAGGTAAGATTCAGGGAAGTCTAACTTATTCAAGAGCTCATGGCTAGTATCGATAAATCAATACCCAATATGTATTTTTTTATATATTTTATTGATTTTTTATAGAGAGGAAGGGAGAGGGATAGAGAGTTAGAAACATCGATGAGAGAGAAACATTGATCAGCTGCCTCCTGCACACTCCCAACTGGGGATGTGCCGCAACTAAGGTACATGCCCTTGACCAGAATCGAACCTGGGACCCTTGAGTCCGTAGGCCGATGCTCCATCCACGGGGCCAAACTGGTCAGGGCTACCCAATATGTATTAAATGCTAACCATATGCCAGATACTGTGTTCAACATTTTACATATCACGTCTTCTAAACCTCAGGCCAGCCTATGGATACCACTATTGCCTCTCTTTTACAGATGAAGAAACTCTACTAAGGTCACATTGCAAATGGCAGATCCAGGACTTGAACTAAAAGGTCTAACTCTAGAGCCCATTCTCTTGCTAATTATGCTACCTTCCATGCAGGCGTCAATGAGAGAACAAAAACTGATATCTGCTAAATCCAAGTTCAGCAATCTTTTTCACCACCTACTGGGGTATAGATATCCTGAATACCAATTCATAAATTATTCATTACTTGGTTCTAAGTACTACTTTGGAACCTGTCTCTGTTCCTAAATAATTCATTTTCATCTTTTTAGCAGCTAAATAATTCGAAAGGTATAAGGTATGAAAGTCAATTACATACAAGCTGATTTCTATTGCTGCACGGCTGAAAATGGTGTCTCATATAAAAATGACGAACGTCCACAGAAATAAGTGGCAAGTTCAATCAGACTAGAAGCGCTCAGAGGGGGATAGAAATGCTTTAGCCTTTTATAGTGACACATTTTGACCCTGTAGATGATAACCGTCTTTACCAATTTCCAACCCAATTGTTCACACGAGGGAAAATTACCAGTCTTGGCACGAGGCAAAGCATTTTCATCTAATTTATGATTCTTTATAACAGGCTGGAGTTTGAACAGATATTGATGGCCAGAAAAATTCTATGAAGGGTTTTAAAAGATCTGTAATTCTCTTGTGATCTGCTAATGCAGTGCATACCACTTTGTTGTCTAGGAGTTTAGAAAACCGTGCTCCCAAGGTACTAGCTGGTTTTATAGTAGGAGATGGAATTGATTTCTTTGTAGTAAACAGGAACAGAGCTTAAGTGAAAAGTAAAACTTGGGAGCTACATAAAAGATGACTCCTGTGTTGGTAACTTCAACTTGAACAGACTTACAGGACTGCTGCAGTGCTCCGAGCCATCGCCTGCTCTCCCTGGAATTTCTCGTTTCGGGCTGCTCATGTTGCACTCAGCTTCCTTGACCAGAAAGAGCTGCTCATCCAAAGCCTCCTTCTGCAGCTGGAGTTTCTGTACATAGCCTGTCTGAGTCTCCAGTTCCTTCTCCAGGGAAAAGATGATCCTGTCCTTGGCTTTGATTTCATCCATCTGAATTAAATGACACCCAGGACATTTTATTTAACCATGCTGTAAAGAAATGCATTTTTACAACAGCTTTGAGTTGAACTGCTTTCCACTGATTGCTGTATAACTAAGTCATGAGTATGACTAGTGTATTGGGTTCGTGAATAAGGCAATGCTGTGTAATGAAGGACTATCCTAGGCTAGTTAGGTATGAAAGAGTCAAAGAGAGTCTCTCTCTCTCTCTCTCTCTCTCTCTCTCTCTCTCTCTCTCTCTCTCTCTCTCGTATGTTCTGTGTAGATGCTTTGAGTCTATATGTTGTTTGAAATAGTTTGGGTTGGTTGAATATGGAAAGAAAAGGCTCACTTGAAAATGGATCATTGGTGTTCATAAAGACAGATGCTAAATATTCCACTACAGGGCTTCCCAGAACAATTTTGGATGTCAACTCCTCTCTGGGGGAATAACCTTTGAGTTCAGTTCAAATAGTAGTAGCCCCTAGGAGTAGGCCATTTGTAACTGGAGAAGCTACAGACTTCCTAGGAGCCTAGTCATCGCCACAGGCCAGCATGTTTGCATCCAGGCTGTGAATCTGCAGTGAGGTCCTTCCGTGGTTCATGTTGTCTAGCTCTTTCCATTCCTATCCATGTTTCAGAGCAGCCAATTCTTAGCAACCATTTTACCCTTCCTGTCAGAAAGCCAAGGTTGGAACAAGAATAGGGATGGAAAGTACCTGGTTTTATTAGTACTTCTTTCTCTCCTACTCCTGTGGGATATACTTATTGATCTTCACTCTCATTTCTGCTAAGTCTGCGCATGGCCTCAGAAATATTTCTCAACTAAAGGCCTATAAACATTTGATACCAATTGTTCAGAGTTTCATTGGACTGAATGTTTTTGCCAGGCCTGGATGAGGGCAAGTGAAGTGAATTTCTGTAAATAAATTTTGAAGAAAGCATAGCTATCGAGTGAAACCTTTCTCCTCATTTCATTATATCCAGTGTGAGTATTCAAAATGAAGATAGAGAAAAGACATTTAATACAAACAACATTATACCATTATACTCTTCTCTTTAGATAGATGTCTCCTTATAATAACAAATCACTCTATATAAATCTTTCTTTGCTTTGCTCCTCAGACCAAAAAAAAGCGGGGGGGGGGGGGGGGCAGAAACTGTGTTATATAGTCACATATTTCCCATATGTAAATATCTGTGAGCTATTGCTTCAAAGACACATGATGGCTTTTAGATTAATTTTGGGTGGCCATTGTGCTAAATTCCAAGTTACCAGATGATCCTGTGATATCGTCTGGTAGCTTGGTGAGAAATTGAACTGTCCTGTTAATTTGGAAATAAAAGTATGGTCTTTGTTTCTATCTCCTTTTGGAAGATTGACTGCAATGGTATTCTTTATGGAGTAGCACATTCATTTGTCAGACCTGTCATCTATGGCGTTATTTACAGTTTACCACAGTTCCAGATATGCATACTCCTAGTTGGTGCTGATGTATCATACCCAATTTGCTGGGAAAGTACCCCATTACCGCTCATATCATCATCCTCATCATCACCACCATCACAACTGAAATGTATTGATCTTTTACCACATTCAAGGCACTAAACGCAGAGCTTTACATACCTTATCTCATTTTATTAACAATCCTTTTATGTAGGTTCGGCTATCACCATTTTAGAGATGATGACTGTGTACCAAAGAGTTAATGTGGTTAGAGTCATGTGGCTAATTGGTGAGGCCTGATTTTACATTCAGTCTTCTGGCTTTAGAGCCCAGTCTATTAGAGTCTATGCCTTACTGACTCCAAGATTATTTCCAGCATTTTCCCAAGTGCTTTCCTGCAGGATATTCAGTAATTAGTGTGTGAAGGCTCTGTTGTATAATAGTTATAAGAATGCACTGTGGTCTCTGAACACCAGAATTTTCCATAGTTCCTTTCTTAGTTGGGATGGAAATTTATATATATATATATATATATATATATATATATATATATATATACATACACACACATATATATATAATATAGAACTATATATATAATATATAATATTATATATATATAATATAATTATATATAGAATTACTCCCATTTCTCTCCCTTCCAGTTCCAAAAATGGAGCTGGGGGTGAGGACAGGAATGGGATAAGAAGAAGATAAAAATGAAAAGTGCATCTGTATGATTGAAAAAGTTTACCATGTTATTCGGTTTATACCCAATTTTTGAATGACTCTTCAGGTAGCTTAGATTTTAGTTATTAAGAGGGATTCACATCATCAGTGTGCTGGTGAAAGAAACATCATAGAGAAAACAACACATCAACATGTACTTGTAGATTTTACACTGAAAACCATCAAAAAACAAAAAAATATTTCGTGTAAAGCTTCCTTTCCATTTACCTACCTGCTGACTCCAGAGTTCATGGGTCTGATTCTTTATCATCAGCTGCTGTTGTTTCAAAAATCAAAGGCAGGGGAAAGACCAGTATTTCTACACTGTGTTTGGTTTCCTTTGTCAGCCAGTGCAATAGAATGAATTGCAGGTCAAGAATTCAAAAAGTGTAGCAAAGGCAACATTTTACAGTCACAATGTATTGCAGTACAAAGAAAATTACATGTTTAGGGTTTTTTTTAAATGTTCTATGGTAACCACATTTTACTTCAAATTGAAATCCTCAAGATACCATCCAAGGAACATAATTAGAATTCTTAGGGAAGAATTGCTTAGAATTGGGAGACACAAGAGGGAAAGTATAATTTTTCCCAAGAAAGTATTGTTCTGAGAGAAATATAAAGTACATTCTAACAGGTAATGTTTAATTTGATAAGATATAACTAACGCTGAACATTCCAAGTATATGCATGTGAATGCATCTTCTAAAATATTAGACAAAGTCATCCTAGGATAGTATAGCTTTCACACAATAATGATATTTGTTTTATTTTTTTTGACATAGTGAGAGACCAATGGCTTTGGTTATACATATTAAAAAGAAAGACCGAACTCTATAGGGGTTGAAGTAGGTCTTTGAACTTGGTAATAGCAAACTTAGGAATAAGCTACTTAGGAATGACATCCAATTTAAAAATTATAGTGACCCCTGCTCATTTGGGGGGAAATCGATTTTAAACAGGACTGGGAATTTTATAGCTCTACCTACTCCTTTCAGGCATAGTTCCTAGAGAGAAGAGTGGTGAATCACTCGGGATGTCCCCAGCGGCTGCCTTGTTTGAGACGTCTTGAGAGCCATAGGAACTCTCCTTACCCTGTGAACATTTTCACAAATGGGAAGCACACGACAGCAGGCTGATTTTGGAAGCGTTCATAATTTAGAATATTTTCAGACATCCAAGAAAACATGAGTCATTGAATAGATATTTTCCATGTGTACTGGGAATCCAGTTTTTATGAGAAAGGTGACCCAAAATCTTTTACATTTTTGACTGTCTGTCTACTACCTACCTGCTTATCGACCTATCCTGTATTTTGGAGAGAACACGGGACAAAAGGTGGGCACTGTCTACAATCCACTCATAAGAAACACCCGATAAAGCAAACCCCTGGCTCCCTGCGCCCCCCCCCCCCCCCCCCCCCCCTCCCGCACCGGGAAAAAGAACGGCTCTGCACTGAGTTACTAACCAGCCTCCGGATATCCCGCTCGGACTCCCACTTGATCTTCGAGATGGCTTCCTGGTGGGACTGATGCTCACTCCTCAGGTCCCCGGCCTTGATTTTATCCGCTTGGATCATGTTGCTGAGGGCCTCGTCCACCTGCTTCTTGGCCGTTTTCAGGTCCGCAATTTCCTGTAGGAGCTTAATGCGCTCCGCATCGAACAGTTTCCGGGCCTCCTCCCGGGCCTCCATGGTGAGCGCTGTCCTTACTTTGTCGCTGCTGCCGTCCCGGAGGGCACACAGCGCCGACTTGAGCCTCTGGATCTCCCCGTCCCGCACCTTCACTGTCCTCGCCATCTCCTGCTCGTGCTGCTTGATGAGGCTCTCCCGCACGGCCTGCAGCTCCTTCATCTTCTCCTCGTGGAGCTTGGCTTTGAGCTCGGTCACCAGGACGGTGTGCTTGCGCTGCTCCAGCTCCCGGATCCTCTTGACTTCTTGAGTCTTCTCTCTTTCCAGCTTCGATACCTAAAGGCGGAAAGGCGAAAGGATAAAAGAGCTGCGCCTCACAGGAAAGGTGTGCTCCGAGGCAGGATTTACAGATGAGGACCCTGTGATCTTTTAGCTCTTTGCAAATTCCAGGCCACGGGGAGCGGGGAGGGAAGGGGACCACAAGCTTTAAAGCTGGGGAGACAGTGTGTAAAAGGAGCAAATACCCAAGGATGCTTTTGTTACTTTGTTCAGACAAATATCTGATGTGCTGGGGCCTTTCTATATATTTGATGTGTGGTCTGCAGGCAAGTAGCATGGGAATCACCCAGAAGCCTGTTAGAAACGCTGAACCTGGGGCTCCATCCCAGATCTACGCATTGGAACGTGCATGGGAACAAATCCCCAGGCCAGGGGCCTGCACAGTGAAATCAGGAAGCGGTGCTACAATGGTTTCACCTCCACAGAGAGGCGTTCAAAACGGAACACCAGAGAGCTTTGTAGACGACGCATCCCTGGGTAGGTGCGACTGATCAGTGTCGGTGACTCAAGATAGTTCATAGCTCATGATGATCAGACTAATAAATGGTGCCTAAAGTAATATTATGACATATTTTCCACGTTTCTTTATTCTTTGGAAGAGAAGATGCTGCTACTAAGGGGAAAGGAAACAATGAAGACAAGTGATATAACCTCCACCTCCCCTCTTATTTAGTTACTTGGCTCCATCCCAAACTTCATATGTACACACCAGGCAAAAAACTCCATCGATGTCTCTTTGCACCCTTCTCTATCCCCACTGTTACTTCCCTCTCCTCCTCCCCCCTAAAAGCCAACTCTCCAAGTAGTTTAATAAAGTATTTCTTTTTATCTTTTCACCTTTCAGGTATTCTGGTTTTTAAAAATCTGTGTTTTGTTAAATTTCCAATGATAATAAATAATATAGGTCTCCTCATAGATTAGCAATAGCACTGCCTTCATCCGGCTGTGAATCCGGCTCTGATTCAGTGGATCAGAGTGGAGCGATGGCATTTGCAGCTTGGAAAAGCCTCGTGGCTCCTGTTCCACCATCCTTTCCCCCCACCTCATCTCTGCTGCCTGTCTTTGTTCCTTTTTGTCTCTGTCGTGTGCATGGGCACACACACACACACACACACACACACACAGATACCCCGTAACCTGGAAAAGGGGAGAATCAGGCAGCCTCAGGAGTAATATCTAGTTGAGTGATAGTGAGTCTCTGCCATTTGTAGAATTGGAAGGTGTCATAAAATAATTGTTAAGAGGCTTTTCAGCTGGAAAATGTTAAGATTCAAACTCCTTACTGAATGATAATGTAAATCATTCAGTAAGGAGCCTGAGATTTACTTACCTTCACAGTTTACCTACCTTTAACTAGAGCAGAATTTTCTAAGTCCACATGACATTTTGTGAACATTATATCTATGTTCTTCCAGCCTGCTCCCGTCCTCTCTCCTCAGGCCCTCACCCCCCCACTGTCTGTGTCCACGGGTTATATGAACATTATATTTTAAAGGCAAAGAAATTATTCCCATGTTGGTTATTCTAAAAGAACTCAGGGCACATGGAGACTTGGCGAAATTAGCAGCCAGGCATCCTCAAACGACTGTCCTTCGGTCTCACCTCCAGCTTAGACCAGGGTCCCTTCCCGGATGCCTCTTATCTCAGATGCTCTAGAGCAGGAGTCCAGTGTGGTGGCCACTAGCCACCCTGAGCACGTGGAACATCGTAAGTCTGCAGTAAGACTTGGTCTAAGTGCAAAATACACACTGCATTTTGAAAACTTAGTGTAGGGTAAAATATTTCATGAACAATGTTTATATTGATTACATATCGAAATTTAATATTTGGGGCAAAATAAGTTACATTAAGTCTATTATTAAAACTAATTCTTTTTACTTTTGAAATTTTGGTTACAAGAAATTTTAAAATCACATATATGGCTGGCATTGTGGCTTGCGTTATATTTCTCTCAGACAGCCCTGCTCTAGGGTTCCTGGAGGTTCATTTAATGAGCCCAGCTTTCCCCCACTGCTGGGGATTCTCTCTGAGTAAAGCCTAGTTCTGGTCTGACTTATGTGCCTGCTCAGAAGTCACCCAGGGCTCCTTTGCACTGTGGAACAAGCTCCCAACTCTTAGCCTCGCCCTTGGGGCTCTCAGGAGATTTGGTTAGGCTTCTAGCTCTGGCGTCTTCCTCTCCAGGTACAGAGGGGTTCGTTATTTTCAGCACATGCCCTGCCTTTCTGTACCAATGTGCCTACAGTTCCCTCTTCCTGTTTTGCCTTTCCCTCTTTCGGGGATCCTCTTATTTACATGGCCCAGCCAGATGTCATCCTCTGTGGTCATGCTACCCATGATCACCCAGGACAAAGCTCATGTCTCCTGCCTTTGTCTTCTCAGTGTACTTAAAAAAAAAAAAGATTTTAGAGAGAGAGAGGAAGCGAGAGGAGGAGGAGGAGAGAGAGAGAAACATTGATATAAGAGAGAAACATCAATAGGCTGCCTCTTGCACGCCCCTGAGGATCAAGCAAACGGGGCACGTACCCGGACCAGGAATCAAACGGGGGACCTTTTGGTACATGGGATAATGCTCAACCAACTGAGCCACATTGGCCAGGGCGGAGTGTACTTTGTTAATACCTTCTTACTTCTCCTGTCCAAATTTTTATTTATGCTGTGCTTTTTTGTACACTTGTCTGTCCTCACCACAGCCTCCCCTACCCTACCCAGACTGGAAGCTCCTAGAAGGCTGCCAATGAGCCTGTTCATCTTTGTCTACACAGTAGCTGCCAGGCAGCACATAAGAAGAAGCCAAAAAGAGTGTGTGGGAATAAAGAATGTACACCAATATGACTCCTTGGCTAGCCATCTAATCAGAAGCAAGAATAATATACCCTGTATATAGTTTAGAGAACACAGGTTTCTAGGGTTACCCAGAGCAACCCCTCATCCATCCCTTACCTATATAAAATAAGAATGAAACAGAAATAGCCCTAATAGATAAGAATTCCTACTTGCCCTCTGCTTGATGTTTCTCTCAGTCCTCCAATAAGACCAACCTAAATTTTCCTCCCCATTTTTTAAGAATGAACTGAAGTGGATATCTTCTAGCTCACAAGTGGGCAAACTATAGCCAAATGGACCAAATCTCTCCTGGTCCAAAAATAAGGGTATTTTTTGTGAATAAAGTTTTATTGGAACATAGCCATGCCTATTTATTTACAAGTTGCCTGTGGCTGCTTTCAGGCTACAATATGGTTGAGTAGTCTTAGAGATTACCCACAAAACCTGAGGCATTTACTATTTGGCCTTTACAGAAAAAGTGTGCTAATTCTTCTTTTACATGGAAAAGGAATCTCTTTGAAAAGGGGTCCTAGTTTTTCACTGATTTCCATCGAGGCCCTTGAAAATGTTAAGTTTAGCTCAGAAAATAGGAAACTAGTCATCTTCCATTTCAGCACGATGTTTTTACATTAGGCATTTGAAATAACATCATGACCACAGGGCTGTCTGGTAACACATTACTGAAGGACATTTTATCAATTGTTCCTAGAATAATGGAAAACTATAGTAAAATGGACAAAGGGTAAGGAATTCTGGGTTTGCATTTCAATTCCACCACCTGCTGTCTCTAAGAAAGTTGCTTTATCCTTCTGAGGGTCTTTTACTATACTTAACAATACGTATGGAGTGGTTATTTTTTGGGTTAAATTAGATAAGACATAGGAAAGTGGCTTGGTCTATAAAGTACTATGAAATGTAAGGCATTATTATTGGATATAAGAGGAGATACTTATAATCTAAAATGACTTATGTCAAATTCTCTGTAGATACATTAGATTGTACCACTTTGCAATTAATTTCTAATTATAAACACTAATCTTTCATGTGTAAATTGTAGAGATGAATAATAAAAACAGGAAATTACAGGTACAAGGAAAATATAGGGTTGGCAAAGTAGGTTTACAGTTGTGAGTAGGAGAAACACAGTTTATTATTTCTTCTTATTGTTGTTATTTTAAATCCTTACTTATGATTTATCATTTAGGCTGGTAATTTAACCTACTTTTGCCCACCCCTGTGTATTCTAGTTTGAAAACAAAAGCAAATACAAACACTGGCCTTCTTCTTCTTCTTCTTTTTTTTTGTTTTGTTTTGTTACTCTTCACCCGAGAATATTTTTTCATTGATTTTTAGGGAGAGTGGAAGAGAGAGGGAAAGACAGAGAGAAACATCAATGTGAGAGAAATATATCAATTGGTTGCCTCCTGCATGAGCCCTGACTAGGGCCTGGGCCAGGGAGGCGCTTGCAACCAAGGTACGTGCCCTTGACCAGAGGAATCGAACTTGGGACCCTTGGTCTGCAGGCTGACGCTCTATCTGCTGAGCCAAACCAGGTAGGCCTTCGTATTGGTCACTTAAATGAATCTACAGAATCCAAACAAAATTCAAAGGCACTGAATTATATTTGGTATTTTTATGTTAACTTATTTTGGTTGTCATGGAAACTGGAGTTTTTTGTAGGCTTTCTAGGTATGACTTTTTTAAAGCTTGAGAGAAGTGTTTCACTATGAAGGAAATACAAAGGATGTGACTGACATTTAGATACAAAGAGCTAATAAAAATTTTGTAGTAAAATCATTTTCTGAGCCCTATTTGGTTTGGCTCAGTGGACAGAGCCTTCGGACTGAAGGGTCAGATTCTGATTCTGGTCAAGGGCACACGCCTGGGTTGCAGACTCGATCCCCAGCAGGGGATGTGCAGGAGGCAGACGATCAATGATTCTCTCTCATCACTGATATTTTTCTCTCTCTCTCTCCCTCTCCCTTCCTCTCTGAAATCACAAAACAAAACAAAACATCATTTTCTGAAAAATTTTGCAGCCCATATTGCACCACTAAGGAAATAGATGTTAATATCTTTTTTAAAAACATATATTTTTATTGATTTTAGAGAGGAAGGGAGAGGGAGCGAGAGATAGAAACATCAATGATGAGAGAGAATCGTCAATCAGCTGC